GCAGAGACAGCATGGCGACAACTGTCCTCCATGGTCGAAGGCCAGAAGCTGAGTGCAAGGTGAGACCAAAGCGGGTGCATTTGGCGACAATGCTGGTGTCTTGAATCGATTTCCCGACTTCGAGTGAGTGCTTGTTCGTTAGCTCGGTTTCACAAAAACTCCTTGAGACGAATACAAAGGCATGTCAGTAAAAGGGCTGAGGCATTGACCTTTGCTGTTGCAATCTATATATTGTTTCAGGCGCAGAGGAGAATGAGGGTGCGGTTGATTGCATCGGTAGCGCAGCAGTACGAGAGGCACGTTTGTTTGTCAGACTGTCTCCTGGCATGGGTGACACACCACAAAGACACTAAAACCCACTAATCACACTAATCAATTATATAGTCACTATTCTCATCTCATACATTTGGAGTCACTGCATGTTCTAATTTTTGAGGCCAATTGCTTCAGCAGATGTCCTGTCAAAATGGCCGCATTCATCAAACCTTGGAGGCCATCCGTGATGCAATGGCTGCTTGTGGGTCGATGGTCTCAGAATTGCCAACGCTCCGGTTTTGAACAGGTTTTGAACTCATCAGGCTCAATGCAGTCATCATCGTGGGTGGCTGTTTTGCGCCAGGCTGTGGGTTTCGCAGCTGTGTCTGGATAAATGAGTGAGCGTTGCATGGATAGCTGGCACTGGCGATTTACCAGTTCGTGAGCTGAGGTCCAGTGCACCTTCCAGGCCGAAGAGGGACGGCAGACCGTTCGGCTTCGACGACGGCGGACGTGAATGGACTCTGCAGACAGCTGTGGAACTGCCCTTGCTTGCTGGGGTCCATGGGTCAACGATATGTCAAATGTCAGTTCGGTGGAGGTACACCACAACAACATACCAATCTCATCCAATCTCAAAGAAAGACAAAACAAGAGGCTCTTTATCCTATCCAAAACTCGTAAATGCTTTGGCACCGCTGCCAGGTGCTTGAAGATGCGGCAAACGTTGGGGATGCCTCTGGCTCCGGAGGAGGACCGCGGAAGGTACCTGTGCCAGGCACTGTGCCAACCTCAAGAGGTGACTGAATGATTATGGGTCCATCCCAAAAAGGGTGAACTATGGTGAGAGTAGAGAAACACCTGAAATAGTTGGGACCTATAGAGGAACACCGGAACACCTATCATGTTTGGGATCTCTTTTTTGTTGGGAACTGGGAAGATTGAGAGATCTGTGGAGACACCTGTTTTTTTTGCTGGGCTTCCGATTGCGCTGGAAGGTCTCAGGGCACCTTTCTTTATTTTGTACACACTCATCCCGAACACAAAAGTGAACATGTGTAGACCAGTGGAATGACTTCATCCATTTCGGTTTGTGTCATTTGTGATCATTTGTGATATCCCACGTGTGTCTTGCCAAGTGTACCGTAGTTGTCCTCTTTGCCAATTTCCCATGCGGATGGCGAAGTTTCTCAACTCCAACGGGGGTAGGCGACTTGATCCGCAGGTTTGAGACCGCAGATTTTGGGGTTCGAATGGGTCCGATGATTTGATGATTCTCCATAGGGCTTACCGCTGAAGACTTAGGGCTCAAGGCTCAGGCAAAAGCAAGCTGCGCAGCTTCCGCGTCGCTTCCCGTGCCTTGCAACCGGGGAAGTGGGTGAGGTGGATGTTGAAGACAAGAAAAAGGTGGAAATTGGGGACCCCTAGAAGATCTAGACATGTAGTGGCAGTGGAAGACAAACCGGAGAGACTTGTTTTGATGAACCTCATTTTGCTTGGCATGTATGGAGGACGGCATATTCTTGTCATTGTGATAGATGTGACATGACTGACTCCAGACCTTGGGCTCCCTTCTTTTTTAACCCTTGGGCCTTGGACCATATGTTTTTCACCCTCCTGACCGTGTGCCTACTCCAGACTCAAGACAGATTAAATCAGTTTTGATTACTGTATAACCTTGTATAACCTTGTTTGCTTTCATTGTACCCACTTTCCTCGGAACACATGACTTAGGAGCAAGGTTTTGCGCATGACAAAGTTCCAAACCTCTTGGACTGGTTGCCGCGGGCGCATGGCAAGCTTTCGAACCTAAGCACGACTTCAATCAGCTGAGGAAGGATGGCCCGCATCAGCAGCCTTGTCTTGCTTGTCGCTTGCCCCGTGGCAGCAATGTTTGGCACCCGATTTATCGGATGGCAGAAGGTACAGCAAGCTACTAGGGTTAATCGTACTCGTACAATTGAAAAAGGAACCCTAGTAGCTTCTTGCTACTAGTAGAAATGCCCTTTGCCACTAGTAGCGTCCTTGCTCCTAGTTCCGATGCCCTTTGTTACTAGTAGCTTCTGCCTTTGAAGGGAAACACGCCAGCAGCGATGATACAAGGTGCACTGCTTGGCAGCCGCGTTTCCACGCACCTAAGCTGAACGTGGTGGTGAGAGAGATGCCACTGCCACGTCTGCAGAGCATGGAAATCTTTCGAACACTGTGCCACCTCTGCACCACATGGAACTTGCCATGAAGCTTTAACTAAATGTTTCATGATTAGTCTTGGCTTCCTGACACTCCAGTGAAGATGGTTGCAACAGTTGGATGGCACAAGCGGAATTTTAGCACAACTTGGCTCAATCGTTTTATTTTGTAGTCTGAGAATTCAATTGTGACATATTGTGACCCATACAGCGGCGTTTCACGAACATTGTCCAGGAACAAGCTTAGTGTGTGTGTGTGTATGATTTTTGGTAGATATAGATCCTGTTCTGTGCGGTATCCGGACTGACAGGCTGCTTTTTGCCAACGCGCCAACCCAGAGCCTTCGCGCTTTGGTTGACATGGGGTCGGAGGGGTTTCCGAGCCGCTTCACTTCTCAGTTCAAATATGGAACATATGGAGCACTGAGAATCTACGTCTTATTTCTTCGACGTTCTTTCTTGTTTAGTGCTGCCTTGGGTTGGGCATGCTGCCTTGTGCAATCCTATCACCAAGTTGATTCGTTCCACCCAGTGTCCAGTCTTGGCGGGGGGGGGGGGCAACTGACCTCTGAATGATACTTTCTGGTCGCGATCCAACCCAAAAGCACCAGGGCGGATGCATCTCAGGATAGTGGATGATAGTGGTATTCCCCCAAAACTGAGGCGGCTCTTCGATGCTTTTCGTCAATTGGTTCTTTTGCAAGGGACATATTGAGTTTCTCCATTTGCTTGAGACATCTTGAGACGCCGCAGCTCGCGTCGGATCCCCCCACGGCCCAGGAAGCCGAACGACCGCCAGGGCCGTGGATGAGTTGCTTGGATCGGACGGATGAAGACCTGATGGACGGATGTGAAGACATCGCGTATTTGTGGGGTCAACATGAAGGTCTCTGACGGAGGCACGGTATTCTGAGTCAACTAATGACTCAATATGGCCTCATGTTATCGAGCCATGGCCATGTATATAGCTGTGGGTCCAAATGCTTTGAGATTCGTGGGCCAAGTCATTTCAACGTGCACCTCCGCCTGAACCACTATGTTGGTTCGACTCAAAGTAAGTCAGGTTTCAACGTTGTAACATGTTGTAACCTCTACCTAAACTACTCTTGGTATTGCAGTTTAAACTATTTGAAACTGACATGTTGCCGGTTGAATCTATTGGTGCCTCGACTCAGAATGCCTGGATTGATGTGATTTTCCCACTAAGTCGGGAGGCCAACGTACAAAAAAAGGAACATAATAGTGCCCTCTTGAGGTGGTCACTGTGGTACTTCGCATGTCGAACTAGATTGGAAGAAGTGGATCATGAACATGATGCTTTCACTAATTTGAGTGAATGTCATGTATCATCATGTATCAGCATATTGTATAAATATCTCATCACATCTATCCATCCTAATCGATCTTCATTGTGTTCACGAAGGGCCTGATGTCTCCTAATCCATCCATCATGTATTCGTCTCTTTTCTTTGTCGGTGTTTCCCTTTGACCCAGGCGAGATGAGGGTTTGGTGCTGATCAAGCCCGAGGAGTCCGGCAAGGTGGTGAAGAGGGACAAGTTCAACAACCCTCCACGAATCGCCTCTGGGACCGTTGGTTCGGTTGAGCCGCGTGACGGCGACCGTGTCGCGAGGAGTCGGGAGCGCCCGAAAGGTTTAAAAGGAGGTGCCCGGGGGGGTCGAACAAACTGGGGGTATGCGCCCCGTTCGTAGTGTCCTTGTTTGGCATCGTAGCGATGCCCTTTGCTCCGTTCGTAGCGTTCTTGTTACTAGTAAGGCTAGGAGCCCCGTTCGTAGCGTCCTCCTAGTAGTGTTCCAAGAAGCTTCCGACTTGGCCGGATGGGTCATTCAGGATCATGACGGATCATTCTATAAGGCTGATTGAACTGTCTTGGACATTCTTGGACAAGAATGGCATTCATCCCTTGAATCGCGGAATGTTTCCACCTAGCGCATTTTTCATCATGATATAACATGTTTCTCGCACTTCCCTGATCCGGGTGGTTACTATTTGCATGCTTTTGCAAATACGGCAGAGTTTCACTCCAATGTTAGGTTGTTGAATCAAAACCAAAGAATTATATAACCTGCCCGCAGTGTATGTCAATGACATGATGTCAATGACATGATGTCAATGACATGATGTCAATGACATGATGTTCCACACTCATCACTCATCACAGTGAAACCCCAAGCCTTGCAAAAGTCTGTTGTGGACTTTTTTCCCAACCACTTCCAACCACTTCTGACACCTGGGGAAGCCATTAGGGGAAGCCATTAAGCCATTGGTCGAGGATTCATGTGTATCCTCAAGCTGATGTCTCGTGAGTGTGGGTGACCAACACATGAACGTGGAGCCACGCTCAACCCGACCAACCAGGGTCCTCAGGGGGGGGTTCTTAGAAGAGGTCCCCTGTATTTGGAACGAAAGGTGTTGCCACAAGTCACAACCATCATCCATTTGATCCCATTTGTACCTTTGCTTTTTGAACCGAGACGACCGGTTTCACTCGGTTTCACTCGGGTCCGCCCGTCTGACCTTCTGACCTCCTCAGGTCATGAAGACCAACGACTGGGACCAGCCTGAGATTCAGCTGAGCACGGGTGCCAGCAACCAGGTGCCGGTCTGACCTCCGGGTGCCAACATCCTGGTGAGAAGTCATTGGTGAACGGACCGGTTAAGACCGTAATTGGTTATGAAACATATGAACTGTTTATTGGTTAGGACCGGTTAGGACGAATACAGAAGTTCACGAATCGAGGCGAAACAAAGAGAACGGAACACGAAATGAAGATGAAATGAAGATCAGTCTTGAAGCCACAATGAAGAAGCCACAAAGACTTTGTTGGGATTAGCCACAAAGAAAGTGATTGGAGGAAACGTCTAGAACGAACCACGTCTATTGCCGTCCATTGCACCAGATCAACTACATCACGCCGGTGGTCCAGTCGGACGACATCAAAGCTTGGCTTCTTTGGTTCTGTCCTTTTGGGCTGGGCAGGACTGGGTAGACAGAGGCGGAGTAAGTTTGTTGTTTTGGAGTCATTATTCCCGCCCACCCAGAAAGATATATGTAATTGTAATCAATTGTATGTATATATCATTATATCATGTATCAAGCCTACCTGTCGGATTGCGCCTTGTTCAACCTGTAGGTCTGTGCTCACGTTTACTAATTGGATCTATATAATCGACATGGAAGCAAGGAACAGATTCATAAGAATCATACAAGGTGTTGCGCATTTGCTAGCATGAATGCAGCAACAGGAAGTGATTCTGCAGATGGGATTGGTATAGGTGTTTCATCACCCCCCCCTTAATTATGTAATTCAAGCCAGGGGGAGACATAATGTAATTACATGTTGGGTTTCTTTTTTTTTGGGTGGGTGGCTGGATTGTATATCTGTGTATGATTTTAAAACCCATTTGTGTTTAGAGTTTAGGCGGAAAAGGTTGCTTCAGGGGCCCATGTTCCAGGCCCATGTTTGTTGAACGGAGGGTGAGCAACGCGCGGTTCGATTTGAAGCCATTTGGCTTTGTAGGCCGGAACATGTGGTGTGGCAAGATCAGGAATGAGAGGTCCAGCATGACTCACAAGTGCAGGAGGCTCAGGTGGACATCAGCATTTTTTACAATTTGAGCCAACTTTTCTCTACATAGGCGGACAAGGTGCAAAACAGAATGAAATAATGTGTTCCAAACAGCTTCACTTTTTTTTTGGCTCCACGACGGGGACATGTCGTGGAGCGTCGAGAGTCGCGTCCGCTCCCATGATGGGGTGATTGACATGTACTGGTGGTACGGCCAGACGTGTTTCAGATCTGAGAAGTCAGCTGGGAGCCACTAGGAGATGATTGGGGGTGCTTCATTAGTTTGGGGCTCCCTTCCAGGATCTAGACCTAGTGAGTTTCCCGTTATCTTGACAGCATTTGACTTTTTTCTGTGCTGAAAAGTGTTTCATTTCACTCCAACCCAAATTTTGTTGGGCAAAACCTTTGCATAGACAGATGGGACGACGACAAGCACCCATGACCATTTCCGACCGCTCAGAATTTGCACTGAGATCCGGTGCCAGATTTTCAATTCAGGTACGCTTCGAGCGCTTCAACTTCAAGATCTTGAAGGATGGCAAAATTCAGGAACGGCGGCGTCAAGGTTTGCAAGAGCTGGGAGGAAATGTGTGTTCGAACGCCAGGATTCTTTGACATCCAGTTGCCTCCGCTCCTGGGCCATTTGCCCATCACCGTTTTTCAATGTCTTTTCTTTCGGCTGTCACAGGGACCGGTGCATAGTGCATAAACATGCTCAAGCGTCGCAGATTTTTCGAATTGTAGACTGTGAAATCATGCAACTATTCAGTGTTGCCGCCAAAACGCCAAAACACCTTCCAAGAGTTCATGCATCTGCAGACAGGAGAACAGTTCCAACTGTTGAACATGTTTTCTTCGGGCGTTTTGCAGAGGCCCCTGAGAAACCACATCCCCTTGAATTTCTTTGCTCCAACAGCAGATCTTCTTTGTGCTTTTGCTCCTGAATCAGCTGCCAACTTGCTTGTCCCCCCACAACTTGCTCCCTGCTGCTCCCTTCTTCTCTCCCTGCTTGCCTCCTGTCTTGTTTTCCTTCTTGTCTCCCTGCTTGTCTCCCCGGAACTTGGTGGCTGTCACGATGATTTTCCTCTCTCTCTGTGCTTGTCTTCTTGTCTCCTTTCTTGTGCTCCTTGCGGGTGCGTATGCCAGCTCCTGGCTGTTTGGAGTCGATGGTGGTTTATATAGCCATGGGGAAACAGCCCGACCCTTTGGAATGCCAAGGAAAGAATATGCAAAGTGTGCATTCTCTGAGCTGAATGCATTGTGCCCAAAGTCTGAAGCTGATGCTCCCAATGACTTTGAGAGGCTGAGGTGTTTCTTGCGCAACGTGGACACGAAGTCCCCGCCAATCATTGGCGCTGTGAGCTAGAGACAAAAAGGGAGAAAAAAGAGATAAAAAGAGAGTCATAGGAATTCATTCAATCCAGGTACGCTTCAAAAGGGAGCCATTTGATTAGGAGATTCGTTGAAGCTCGCACTTTACACATGGTTTGGCATCATTACCTCCCAATATTTCCCACCATTTTAAGGTCCTAAGCAGTCGAAAAAGAAACTGACCCTGACCCACGTCCCCCCTGTTAAAGGGGGGGTGATGGTGTTTCAATGGACTCTTAACGAAACCTAGCTCATTATTCGACTCCCCAGCGGTTTGATTACTATTCCCGCAGAAATGTAAAGAAGCCACCTCAGCCACTTTATTGAATGTTAACCATAGGCCATCCAAAACGCACACCTTCCTTTTCGGACAAAGGACATGAAGCAACTCCAACTGGTGCAAACTCGAAGCAGCGACCCAAAGCTGAAAGGAGGTACCCTCTCTCCCCTGAAAGACCAGTTCCCTATGTTCCCTTGGTGCAGCGAGCACTTCCCACCTATTACATTTGAGAAAGAGCTTGCATGAGCAAAGTTCAAGGTGGTTCCAGCAACATTGTTTTGTACAGTATCCAATGATGTGATCAATTGGCGTCACGTCACTTCGACTCCTCCTGTGAGAGCTTAGGTTGTCACTGAACGTGAACTTCTTTGCCATCATCGGGCTCACCACCGTGGGTTTCATGGCTCACCAACCGCGGTCTTCTCGGGTCCTGAGAAAAACGGAAAACCAATGGACTTGTTCTCCTACTCCTGTTAACTGCTGCTTGTTATGTTGCTCGTGCAAGAGTTTTCTATGTGCCCAATGGACAGTAATTGCTTGAAATTCATACCATGTATACTAACGATGTCAGTTTGGGCCAGTGGACTGCATTTCCTGGTTGCAAGTTGGGAGCCAGTAGTCATAGTGAGTGCAGCTTGAACTGCAGGTGGTCTCATCGAAATCCAGCGCTTCTTCCCAGATACCTTGTACTGGTGAGTGGCTGAAGGCTGTGAGATCAGCGCTTTCTCAGAGGATTCGCAAGACATAGCCAAAACATGTCAAAGCTGGCCTTGTGTAGGCATACGGATGTTGACATTGGTCACACATGATATTCCACGACTGCTACGACTGATCCTGGCGCACCGCTGTCAGTCAGATCAAATAGAGGCAAAAGTTCTGAAAGATATCAATGGTTTCGATATCGCTTGTTTTGTCACAATATGCAGTTGCCCTGGGCCCTGAAGCACCAACCTTGTACTTGTTCACCTGGGAGCTCCTGTTTGCTCACAAAAGGCAGTCCAGTACGGCAACGGTTCCAACACAAAATCCGCAACCAACTATAGTTGCAGTCCCATACCAGGTTGCAGGTGTTGGGAAGAGGGGAGCTTAGGTATGTGCGGACATAGTTTCCATTATCTATAGTTCAGTAGAGGGGAAATGTGTTCAGTGGAGGCATCAGTCAGTTCACCAGACAGAGTTCAGATATCTCCCTCAGCACATTTGCACGTTGACAAACTGAAAGGAGCTACAAGTGTCGGACGGCGGATAGAAGCCTCTGAAAGGGATGCCAAGCGCGCTGGATGCGCTTGGCGCCTTGCCTTTTTGAAAGGCGTCGTTAAGTGCGCGCAGCCCAAGAGAAATTCCGAGCAGCTTGCGTGATTTAGCACGGTGAAAGGATTAGCAGGTAAACCACGCAAGTACACACAGAGTCGATTTGTGTTTTTGTTTTGTTTTGATGGGAACACCACAGGTGTCAGGGAGTCCAACACCATTGAAACGATGGCCTTGAGATGGCCGAATGGAATTCCTTTACTTCAGCGGTGCCAAAAAAAGTCTTCAAATTTTTATTACAATATATATATATATTATATACATATTTTACAAGCAATGTGTTGCAAACACACCCACACAAACACACACAGTGCATTTGTAGCAGTTTCGCAGGGATCAGTTCCTGCTGAACGTGTTGGGAGTTGTCTGGGTGAGACTCTTCTCACCCAAATGGCTGTGTTGCGCACTCACAGTCCATGAGAGTCTAATTCGGCTGGTAAGAATGGGAGTGGCCGGAGGAGTGGTAAGAACGGTGGTCATGTTATGGTCATGTCCCGCAGACCCCTTCGGTTCGTGTCCTGCTGGCAATCCGACGACTGAAGGCAGGACGACAGTTCTCACAACGGGCGCGACAGTGATGCAAATACACGAGTGATAGCAATGGTCAAACCCCAGTAATTATGCATTAACTTTTCTTGTTTGCATCCCCAGATGTGATATGAGGAGGACTCATCGTTGGACTCATCGTTGCTGACCAAAGTCCGACGGTGACTATATAGTGCTCCATTCTGGATGCTAATGACATTAATGCAAACGCTACGAACGGGGCTCCTGGCCTTAGACATCGGCCTCATCACGATGATTGGCCTCATCGGCCCCCTCACGATCTCGACACCTTCCATCACGATCTCGCTACCTTTACGCCACATATATATATATATATACACGATAAAGTGCGCTACATCAACAAGAACTCTGTAGGAGTGGATACAGAAACAAGACCAGTCGCTCGAGTTCTTCTTTCTTTGCCCAGTCACCAGCCAGATTTGGAGCTGAAAACGGGGCGTTTCGACGACGCGACGGGGGACAGAAGCCTAAGCTCCAGGCATCATGGCACGTCTGACCAGCTTGATTTTGGTGGTTGCTTGTGCCTTGGATGTGCCTTAACAACGGATCAGATTTCATGTTCACCAATATGGCCTTGAGGAAACCTAGTGAGAGTTCCGAGGCGCTTTGCTTGGCAGCCACTTTTCAGCGTGTCTTGCATTGCATTTGGAGATGTCCTCGCTTGGTTGATGGGTCCCGTCACAGACTTATCGGGATCGCCATCGATGCTTTGCAGAAGAAGCACAACTTGAGGACGCCTTCGGCATGTTCAGACCGCTCAAACGTCACATATTGCATCATATTGCAGACTGCTCAAGTACAACGTGCGGATTAACAAGAGAAGGTGTGGCTGTTTTGTTCAACACGTGTTACAAGTCTTAAGGCTGTCCTAAGCACGGTGGTCCCGGTGGTCTTCTTGGACTTGCATTGTTCCGCCCGGACGTGAAGCCGCCCGCAGGTGGCTCTTTGCCAATGCGCCATCCCAAAGCCTTCGCAGCTTGGAGGAATGAGACCCGACAGAGCGGGACCTGAGCTTCACATGTGTTTCAGCAGAACCTGAGCACAAACAAGGTGAACCAAGCAGAACTATGAAGTTGAAGTCCTTGATACTCCTTGTGCATGATCGTGCACAGGGTTCACTTGGAACGCAAGGAACCAGTTCTGTTGCTTAAGTTGCTGGATTTGGAAGGTGAACTCATACAGAAACATAACAGACACAAGAACCACGCACGTCCAAGGGGCAGAACCCCCCAAATTCGGAGCCGTGGGGATACTACGAGCCAAACCTCCACGGGCTGGTCCAGGGCTGGTCCCGGGCGGGCGGGCGACGTGGCGGGCCGGTGGGAGAAGGCCCCAGCTGACGGTTCTTCTTGCGGACCAACAACTTCCCTACAAAGGGTGAGGTCACTGCAAGACAGTCGTAGTACGAGTCCTCTGGGATGTAAGGCCGCCGGGCAATTCGGGCGGATGAGGACAAAACATAGCACTTGAAGCTACGAAAGGTGGGATAGAACACCCACCTAGTCTCCCAGTCCGCCAGCCAAATGAGGCTAACGGGTAGAACGTGAGGAACAGCAGCAACACAAACGTTTATAACTTTGGAATACTTTGGATGTATACGCTCACTAATGAACTGCTGATATTTCGGACTTGTCCCGAGGTAGTCAAGGTGCCACACGCAGAGCAGTGGACGAGTGGCTGGTCAGAAACAATTCAAGGCTTAAATCGGATGCAGCTCACACGCCCTGTTTCCCATGTTTGTTCCGAGGCCATCGCGCGTTCAACGCAGGAACAAAAGTAGTTCTTGCCGGCTGGGGGAGTTTGTACCATTCAGTTCCCTATCGTGATTGACTTGGTCAAGGAGGTTCCTACCCAGTGGGTCATGGCACCGGGACACCGTTGACCACTGAAGAACATGAACAGACGACTACCAGTGACTAGGGAGGTAATTGTTTGAGGCCTCCCCAGCGCCGAACATCCACGGCGCTACGTGGGGTTGCCCTTACAAGAAAGGCCTCTTTGGAGATATGACTTCCACTTGGAAGACTGGACGACGTTACTGGAGGCGCTGACATCTTTGGAAACAAGTCTGGACATCGGACTTCAGTGGGGTGACAGTGCCTAAACCCTGCACTGTGCCTGATCCATCCTGATCCCAGAGTCTGATCTTTTCAGATACACCCGTTTTTTTGAGGCGCGATGAGGGATTGGTTCTCATCAAGCCTGAGGAGTCTGGAAAGGCACGTGGTGAAGCTAAATTGAAGATCTTTGAAGTAAATGCTTCAGCCTTTTAAGCTAGCTGATTGCTTCAAACCTGGCATGGGGGTTCTCCAATCCTTAGACCAATCCGATTAATTGATGTCCATCAACGGTCCGCCAGGTGGTGAAGAGGGACAAGTTCAACAACCCTCCTCGAATTGCCGAGTCCTCAGACGGATTCGCTGGGGAATCAGTTCGGTCATACGATTCGAAACATCATGTGAAGCAGAGTGAAGCAACGAAGGAAGAGCAACTTTGTACCAAAGGAAGAGCAAGAAGTCAGAACCTGTGAACAACTTGCCCAAACAACTTGATTGACATCTTTGCATTTGCACCTCGTCTCTGATCGGATGATTGGAAACCGATTCATGTCGCTCGCTGGAATGGTTTGACAGTTCTGAACTGTACTCTAAACCTGGTAACTTGGGATAAATAAATCCAATCCCCGTTCCGTTTTTTGCATCGCAGTTGCCACGGTTCTGATCCCTCTGGTCAGGATCCTAAAGGACCTTTTGCCAGGTTCTTCGCTGAGCCAGAGATCCAGTGGCCGGCCGTACCTGTTTCAGGTCATGAAGACCAACGACTGGGATCAGCCAGAGATCCAGCTCAGCACTGGCGCCAGCAACCAGGCAGGGGCTCAGTGAGAAACATGGAAAACGGTCGATTCGTGACAGGCTCAGCCAGTTGATGAAAACAGCACAGTTGTTGAACGTAAACAGGCAAATTTGGGTTGAAGAGACGGCTTTCACGGAACAAAGGTGATTGTTCCTTTTTCATCCTTTTTCATTTCTAGAGATTGAACCGCTGCCAAATCATGATATGGTGATACCGCCATACCGTGTTGTTGCAACATCACCATTTATTCCCTCCGTCTCGGGAGCCGAGTTGTTGCTGTACTCGGACCATCAAATCCTCCTGAAGATGCGAATCCGTCAATACTCCATTCGCGAGCGTTTTAGATATGAGTTGAGCTGAATATTTTGCTCGAAGGCGTCAAAAACACGCGGAAGAATCGGCGGAATGGATCCACCGGCCTGCAGATCAACTACATCACGCCTGTGGTCCAGTCTGATGACATCAAAGCATGGCATGGGCCTGAGTACGTGAGCAAGGCAACGTCCACTCCTTCTATGTGGCACGTGTCCATCTTACTATATACATGTTACATCTTGTTACATCATGTTACAACTCAATTGAAATGAATTAAGTACCCTCAAGAACACTGAGACTCTCGATTGGAGAGAGGTTCCGATCCGTCGACAGATCCATTTAGCTTCAGATCCGATTGACATGGCGATCTGAGGAATAAAGGTGTTTGAACATGGAGAGTCATGAGTAATGCCGCGATAATTCATCTCTGCGAATGTGAGTAAGTGCTGGATCATGCTGGATCTGTGGCCTGCAGAAGCGACTACTAGCAGTCTTTGGAAGCTGTATCGGTTCCAACATGGATTACAAAAGTGTGTTAAAACATAGAATATGCGCCAAAAAGGTCTTCATCAAGTTGTGCTGTCAGTCACCCAAATACACCATGATACACCTAGACTCCTCTAACTCGCCGGGTACTTTGACATGAAACTCGCCGTCGTCCACTGTCACCGCGACCTAGACTCCGGTGGGCGCCACTGTCACCGAACGATCCGAAGGGTCGGCGGGACCCGCGTCGAGAGTCGCGGCCAAGGTTGTCCTTGAATGTGAACTTCTTCGCCATCATCGGGCTCACCACTGTGGGTTGCATGGCTTGATGAGCGGATCGAAGAGCACATCAACTATCAGCAACTGATAGACCACATCTCGCCGGGTGCAGCGTTTCTTTTTTTTGAGGGGGATGCAATTGTGTGGCAAAACTATGCAAAACTGATTTTGCCTGGTGCGGCTCCCTTTGTTCATGCTTGCTCTGGCAGTGTCGCGGCATCCTCGCTCTCTGGAGCATGCTGATTGATATTCAAGGATATTGGCAACATAATGCCGCTTCAATCACTTCTAGGCCTCACCCCAGCCTAAGAAGTTGTGTTGCAACAAACCGTAACAGAAACTCTTGCCATGAGGTTGCCAATGCCTTATTTTAACTGTGCTCCGAGGAACCTCCACCTCTTCAATTGTCTTTGGTGAAACTGGTCGTTCACACTAGGTCACTAGGATAACTCAGAAGCAGGAACTATAGCTCAAGGGTACATATGAGCACATCACCTTGCGTGAAGGTGGCACTTCCCCCCTCTAACCAGGGTCATTCACCATTTCCCCTCCGTGGGATGGATCTTTGCTTCTCGCATCATGGTGCAACACGTTGTGAAAATCCATGCAACTGCAGGTGGTCTCATCGAAATCCAGCGCTTCTTCCCGGACACCCTCTACTGGTGAGTGGCCAGCCTCTTCTGTGCCTGAGAGAAGAGTTTCTCGAACCTTGAGTTCCCAACATGGAACTCTTGTGAACTCTTCAATGACAAGATACAACATTCATCAAAGTTCATCATGTAGTTGGCTAGCAGGTGCGGCATGAAACACATGAAACACATGCGGATTGGCATCGCACCATGTTGGATTTCATCATTGGATCAATGTGCCGGTCGATCCGGAGAACCCACCAGACAAAGAGGGGCAACTTTAAGGCAAAAAAGAGGACACAACGCGTTAAGTTTTGGGCAGACTCAAAGGGAGGGATCCATCCCCGAGGAAGTTGCAGTTGACCACTGAACAAGCACGCAAGAAGTGGAGATGACAGGCCGGATAGAGGGGTCAAATGCGAACCTTGCGGCCTCTGAAGGGGTGCCAAGTGCACTGGATGTGCTTGGCGCTGTGCCTTTTTGAAAGGCGTCGTTGAGTGCGCGCAGCTCAGAAAGCAAAAATGTGAGCAACAGCGAGCAGATTATGTTGTCAGGAAGGTTCTACATTGATGGCTGTTGCGAGCCTGGAGAAGCGGGTTGCGAATAGGTTGGAGGCCAATTGCTAGTAGGTTGGAGGACATCGCAGTAGGGTGGAGGCCATCGCTACTAGTATAGTAACAAGGGCATTGCTACTAAGCTGCTTATTAGTTAGAAGCTAATAGGTCACGGTCAACATTCCGCAGATCTTGGGATCACGTTCCTCCGTTCAGCCCCAAAGCGGCTAGGCGCAGGGGGGGTTGCGACCCTCTGGGGTCGAGGACGATGAGACGGCCCGTTTGGGGGGGATCCGATGTGGAAGCCTTTACGTTGGCCAAGATGGACGCCCCAATGCGGAGTAATGCGGGTGTGCCGGAAGATTGGATGTGTTCTTTGGAAAGTGGGCCGTGAACTGGACCAAATGTGGATTCTGTGTGTTATCATAAGTTATCATACGGTTTGTGGGCAAGCTTACTGTGATTAGTCTGTCAGCCAAACCCTCTAGACAGATGTTACCAAAGCCAGGCATCATGGCACGTTTGACCAGCTTGATCTTGGTGGTCGCTTGTGCCCTGGATTGAACTGGACACACCCAGCCAACCAGTCGCTTGATTATGAGAGATGTCGTCCACCAATGGAGAACTTAGCGCCATGAATTACGCAAGCCGCAAGCAGAACTTCTGTTTTTCTCACCAGTGTGTCCCACAAGTGGCCCGAACCAACTGGTCAAACCAGCTGTTCTGTGTTTAACACATTTTAAACGTTTGTCAACATTTCTATGGCAGTTCTATTTAAGAAGCTTGGCGAAGTGCAACCGCAACGAGACTTGGATGTTGCTGTCGGCTGTCGGACTGCTATGTTTTCACGGTCTCGTGCTACTATCTTCACTGCCGGTCATATTGGTCTTTCCAACGAGTGGGTGCCGGTCCTCAGGACATGGTTTCAAACAGGTTACTTTTCGTTTCTCCCTGCTGTTTCTGCGACGCAGATGGACGTCGCCGCGATGCCCATTTCCGAGGCACTCTGCTGGGCAGCCGCCTTTCGACGTATCTTGTTTGGCACGTCAGCTGCAGCTGCGGCTGCGGTCGGTTGTGTAGGGTTGTGTGTATCAAAAACGGTAGGGGGGCAGTAGGTGTTCAACAAACCCACATGTTGGATGATCGTTGTGGATAGAAGATTAGGACAGGCTGGCATCATCCTGGTGCCAATTTTGATTTAACGAAAAAACAATAAAAACCAATCGGTCACAGATGGTCACAGGCATTGGCAGGGGTTTTGTTTCCATACTTTTCAACCTATTGTTGGTTGGGTGATTGACTTTGTTCAGCACTCCTGCGGACTCCGGATTGACTCGTGTCACCAAGGCTGCTCTTTGCCAACACGCCTTCGCAGAGTCTTCGTGGCTCGGAGGGTTTCAGTTGCATAGCTTCTACGGTTTGCTGTCCCAGAGTCCCACAGGGCCAAGCAGGGTTTGCTGTCCCAATGGGCGGAAGCAACAGATCACAAGTTTATGTTCCTGCAGCTTGGAGAGTGCTCCGTTTCATTGCTGTGAATGATAGGAAATGAAATAACTGCTAGCAGCCGTCCCCTTTTGCACCAACATGTGGTGGCAAGAGATGTGGGATACATTCGGGTCCTTTCGAATGACATGTCGGACTGCAAGGCCCATGTCCTTGCGGATTGCAGCTCCAAAGACACCCAAAAGCATCCAAAAGCTTCTTCTGAAATGGAAATGATGGAAATGTAACTATATTTTGTATAAAATATGTATATATATAATTAGATATATTAATATATATTAATATTGAGTAAATTAAAACAATATATATATATAATTGAAACACTTATACGATGTATACTAACTGACAATGTGATTTGGGAAAGGCCTTCTCAACTTTCTGTGATACATCGAAATGTACTGGACGGGTCGACGGTCAAATCCGTCGTCCACGGGCCGCCCGACGTCAGGCAGTCAGAGTGCCGCCCGACGGGCCGTAGATGAGAATCTTGGCAGGATCCAGTGGAGTGAGTTGGAGGTGAGCTTTTTGTTTCTGGTTAGTAGTAGCGATGCCCGGAGCTCCAGTAGCGATGCCAGGAGCTACTAGTAGTGATGCCCGGGTTCTTACTAGTAGCCTCTTGTTCCTAGAATTATGATCCAATAACCTGCATTTGGGGCAGATATTCATAGACATCGTACATCCATGTACATCCTGTGGCCAATTGCTTTTGTTTCTTATACAAAGAAGCTCGGGTCCATTTGAAGCCCTCAGACTTCATTGTGGACCGTGTGAAGTGTGGATGTGCAAGCGCGAATGAAATGGATCGACGCAGGAAGCATGCCATACCCACAGGTGCATGCCCGCAGATTCCGGGTTCTATAAGAATATGAAAGATCTGGAGGGTTTGAAGTTTGTGAGGGCAAGGAACACAGACGGCTTTTCCCACCAGGTTCGACGGCTTTTCTCTGTCAATTGGTTCACGTGCAACAGGCCTGAGCCGAGCAATATCTACATATTAGATTGGAGGCCTGCCTTGCAAATTACTATAGTTTGACCTCCAAAGGTCAACCTATAGTTTGCTCTTTTCGTAGGATTCTAACCTTTTCGTTGGGCCGTTGCATTCCGCGATGGTTGTCCCGGGAATGGTATGTCGCATGTCGTGCGATGATCATGATGATGGTGGTGATGATGATATTGTGGTTGTTGTTATTGGTGTTAGACGTGGTGGGGGTGGTAGGTTCTTTGTCGCGGGTGCAGCCTTTCTAAATCTTCGTGACACATGATTCATCATGATTAGTATTAATCATGCTTCTTCATCACGTAATCATGACAGTCTTGAAACGTACTTCGATTTACTTTGACCAGTTGTTGATGGCCGTTGGATGTCAGGCTGGGAAGGCCTAACCCCCCTACTTCGCTCGTTTGCTGATTAAAAGCAACGGGGAACCTTTGACTTCCCGCCCAATGGCACGACGTCACCGGAATCGCATCCGATAAACATTGGGATGAAGCATATTTTGTTCAGCGGAGCAAGGCGAGAGTGACGGAGGAAGCCGAGTTGGTAAGGAGTTAAAGCGGAGTTGGCAAGGAGTTAAAGCGGAGTTGGCAAGGAGTTATAGCGGAGTACAACTCGAGTTCTGTTTGAGGCCATCGCTACTCATCGCCTCTTCGTGACCGAGGCGTGACGAGGGATTGGTGCTCATCAAGCCTGAGGAGTCTGGAAAGGCGAGACCGCGAGTTCGCCAACGTCGCCTGCATTGGTCCCCATAGTCCCCATAGTCACATGAGCAACCACTTTTACATACTAGTAGGCTTTACTAAAGCAGTCTAGGGCATGCTCTATTTGCTTGTCTATCATCAGTATTCGCGTGTGAACGAGATAGGGCCCCCCAGATAAACGAGATACCTTTTTTTTTGATGACACTAAAGTAGTCTGAACGAGATAGTGTGATTTGCTACAAAAGTAGTCTGAACGAGATACTGTGACATGACCTCCTATACTTAAGTAGTCTAAACGAGATAGGGCCCCTCACATAATAGCTCAGCGTTTTTGAGTTTATACACCAAAAGTCCAATGCCGCCGCACAGAACACGTCGCACACATCGTCTTATTGCCCGATGCAGGGCACATAGTCACCCGCCCATTTGGGCCCACCTTCAGGTGGTGAAGAGGGACAAGTTCAACAACCCTCCTCGGATCGCCGCTTGGAACCGGAGGAGAAGAGCCGACCGTGGATCAGCCACGGAGCGTCGTTCAGGATCGACCCAAGGCGGGATCGACGGTCCGTCAGGTCATGAAGACCAACGACTGGGATCAGCCAGAGATCCAACTCAGCACTGGTGCCAGCAACCAGGTGAGGGTTTTCTTTGGGCACGCGACAGGGCGAACAAAAAAGAAAAAGCGATTGGACATGTATTCTTCTAAAGGGGGGACTGTACTTTATTATCTTTATTAGAAGATGTCCATGTTGATCATAATGGACGTTTGTTCAGCCAACGCCAGTGGAGTCTTCAGCACAGTGTTTCAACAAACACTATTGGATTTGTAGTCTCAGATTCCAGCGTCCATGCACCCAATAGAGTCATAAAGCAAGATGATTTCCGACCATGTAATATAGCGTGTAGTGTATAGGTACCCATGTATTGCGCCTCACACTCGATATGATAGAGGCAATGCGCTTGTTTACCATGCAATTTGTGTTGCACGTAGGCTGCGCAGACCTGCAAAAGAGAGGGTTAGTGTGACCAAGAGGGATAGCATGATCATCATGACAGTTACTGTATAACAATTTGTCAATCTATTATGCCTATGGCAGGTAGGTTTATCTTTGATTGCATAGTTTAGTGGATCCTGGTGATGGATCGTCCAGTCGTCCATCAGATCAACTACATCACACCAGTCGTCCAGTCGGATGACATCAAAGCGTGGCATGGGCCTGAGTCAAGGCATGTTCTGAGGCAATGTGATTGAAAGCTTGTAATTTTCGCGATACAGAATCTGTTTTTAGTCCCTTGCCATCCGTTGCCCTCACTCTTACTCAATTGAGTAGGTGCCTACTTGAGTAAGTAAGGGTGAGGGCAACTAGCGGCTACTACCTAGGGACGCAGGATAGTTCACTCTTCTTCAATGAAGCTCCCCCCCGCTGCCCTAAAGGCGGCGGAGAGGAGCTTCCTTGGAGAAGCGCTCGCACTATTCATTTGGTTCCTAGATTTTTAGGGACACTTTTCTCAACTTCACAGGCATTATTAGCAACTTATATGAGAGAGACCGTCTTCACTGGAACACAATTTGGCACACAATTTACAATACAGTGGCACTGCAAGTCTATACACTTCATATGGGCAACTGCCTTAAACGTGCACTAAATAATTTAGTAAAGAGAGGGTGGGAATTTCAGGAATTGGGCTAAAACATGCAAAATTCGATATGTTCAGCTATTTTGACATTGTGGCTAAAGCCTGCAACAGCGATAGGCCCCCCTCAAAAGCGATAACCTTGCTGAATCATGTCCTTTGCTTGACCGTACGTTTTGGCAGACGCTCATATGGAGTGTTGCAGTGTTTTTTCAGTTTCGATCACAGGGTAATCAGAGAGACAGCAATGCATACGGAAGCGATTGGTGACCTAGAGATGACGTCTAAAAGCATTGGATTTACCAAAAGACTCCAAAACAGCGCTTTGTGAGAGCTTAGGTTGTCCCTGAACGTGAACTTCTTCGCCATCATCGGGCTCACCACTGTGGGTTCGGCTTCTCAGACGCTCACATGTTCAACTGGTAAACGACTTTAAATAGTCATGCAAGAGGATGCTTCAGACAAGAGGGGCCCAATCCGTATTCCCCTAAAATCCCTAAAATCTTCTTGGTGAGAACACATAATAGTATATATATATTACATATATACGCAACGGCTGGCTGGCTGGCTGACGAATTTAATTCCCAGTTGCTTTACTACGCTGTACTACTGGGCTTTACCACTCCCCTCGAAGAATAGGCATTCCCAATTTGGGCGCCATGTGACCTTCACGTGGGAGGACCTGCAGGGCCTGAATGGGACTGTTAGAGTACCAGGCGTCCAGTATTTGGGGCAATTCTCGAGAGAGGTTTCCAGAACCTGTGACGATCCCAATCGTGGCAACCTACTAGCGATGGCCTCCAACCTAATAGCGTCCTTGCTCCTAGTAGCGATGCCAGGAGCCCCAAGTAGTTTCTTGTTCCTAGTAGTAAGGCCAGAAGCCCCTAGTAGCTTCTTGTTCCTACTTAGTAGTAAGGCCAGGAGCCCCTAGTAGCTTCTTGCTACTACTGGAGAGGGCCTCCAACCTACTGATGTTAGAATTCCTTAAGACTCGAAAGAATGAGGTGCAGCAAGACGCCCGCCCACATGATCCGACCTTAGGTCGCCCCCATGAGGCGACCTGTCCATTTGGCACGAATCAGTGGGGCCCACCCTGTCCATGTTTTGGCGCCGATCAGGGTTTGGCGCCATCGCACTCGGGGAACTGTCCAGGTGGCCTCATCGAAATCCAGCGCTTCTTCCCCGACACCTTGTATTGGTGAGTGGCACATCTCACCTTTTTCTCGGGTTGATGGCGTAGATGGCTTTCCTTGGTCTTGAGTGGCTGAGGCGATCAGGCTTGGACATGTTGATGGATGGACATGTAAACTCATTGCTAAGCTTGGTTTCGAAAGAGTCCAGAGATCCCACAAGGCCCCAGAAGATCTCATGACATGCAACAAGAAACATGTAAGAAGCATGTGTTCATGAAACAACTGGATCGCACATTGTGAAACTCATGCTCGCAGAAGATGCATCATACGATGCATCCATGGCCGGTCCCGCCTTTTTGAAGGGCAGCCAATGGTTGCCTGGAGACACTGGAGACGTGGAGGAAAAAGATAGCTCCTCAAAGGGCCTTCATCATGCTGTGATGCGGTGTTGACCGCATCAAACGCGCGCTTTTGAAGCCCTCTAGTCAATCTTGTTCAGGATCCTACTATCTGGTGGCCTGTGGTGGCCCAAGCATATAACGTAGGCTGCAGCTTTTGAGTGACCTTGCAAGCATTGGTGTCAGCGACTAGCAAAAGACGAGGCCCTACAGAACAATGCAGCTGTTTTGCAGCCTGTTGCTCGGTTTGTTGCCAAACTGCAAACCTCCGCCCGAGCAATGTGTTTTTGATGATGCGGCATGTTTACCTTCTCATCTTACTGTTGCAAAGGCACGCCTGAAAGGGACACTCGTGAAAGTCCTGCTTTGATCGGATTCTGATTTTATCTGATTTGGATAGCAGAGATTCCAGATGATAGAAGCCAGGTTTCACATGGTTTCACTGCTTTGGACCTGAGAGGTGATCTATATGACTTCCGAAAACCCTCTTTGAAAGATTCTATTAGCAGTAGAGGTTGAGTTTACTGAGTTTACTGCCTTTGGCTGCCTGCAAGGTCCTTTGCACAGCGAGCATATCTGTGCGACAGGATAAATTCCATCAAGAACCCTGGAGGCAGACTCAGACTTGACTTGCGTCGCAAAGGTGCAATCTCGATCCTCTCTGCTTCATCAATTCTCGGAACTGCTTTTTCTTGAAATGTTTGGCCAATACAAGGAGGAACCGACCAGCAACAAACAGAGAAACTGCCCAGGAGAGCAGGTGAGCTCACCTGACCTAAATGACTTACATCAGTCTTACATCATCTCACATTCACTTCCAGGTTTTGTTTCATTGTTTTTCCAAGTCAGACCTTTCCCCTCACTCTGACACGTCGCATGAGACTCTGACACGTCCCAAGGAATGGTTCGATGAGCCAGGAGGATGGGCTGCGGGGGGTTCATCTCCACATTGGCAGTGGCATCTATGACACGCGTTTCTTGAGGCGGGACGAATCCAATGGGCGGACGTGAAGGATCGTGGAGGCAGATGGACACTTCAGACAGATGGAGACTTCTTGTGTTGCGCACATAACAGGATCACGGCTTTAAATAAACCTAAGCAAGCCTAGCTAGCAATGGCCAACCTCGTAGCCGTAGTAGCGATGGCCTCCAGCCATAATGGTGACAGATGGTGACACTTGAAAATTCATTTGGAAGGGGGATGTGCATTCATTCACATTGTTTCCGGCTGGTATGTGGGTGCTGCGAGCGCACGAAAGTCAATTTGTTGTGTAAAATGTGGTCAATCAAAAGGTCTCCGATAACTTTGTTGCTAGTTAGTTTGGCTCCTTGAATCGTGGGAGCACAGGAATCCAGCATTCACAGTTCTCACAGGCTGCTCTTATGGGCGGGCTCTGTCAGAACTATATAGTTTGGACACACCCATATAAACCTGGAAAGGGCCGTCGTTAGATTTGACAAAAGAACGAGTTCCACAAACCTGTCCGTGCACGTTCGTGCACTGAAGAAGAACTCGACTCAGGTGGGATGGGCGAAAATACGTCGGCTCCTTGGCAGAAGTGGTTGTTCGGCTCTACAAAGGTGTCAAGGGGACACAAAGTCAGAACTGCTTCTTGGCCGATTTGCTTGGCTCAATGCAACGCTTAGACTCAACTACACGTGTTTTGCCATGTTTCCTTTGTACCATTCAATTTGATGTTTGTACTTCTGAATTTCAATCATCAGCTTTCATTCTGTTCAATGTCCTCAATTTCCATCGACGTCTGGTACTTCAGCGTCAGCATCATCGATCTACAGACGATTGATGACGATTGGGCACGGTACGATTCGCACGTGAAAGGACTCGAGATTGATATCCTCAATGAGCTTGGGCTTCGTGCAGGCCATGGGCAACAGGAAGACCGGACAAAGAAATAAAGACACTTAAAGACGACAGAACCACTTCGGACTAAAACCAGAAGAGATCGACTAAAGACAACGACGCCGTGAGCTTTGGGCACCGTGCGGCCATCGTCTTCAAGTTAAATAGGCCATTGTGCGTCGGAGGATCTGTACCGTTGGAGGATCCTTTTTTTTGTTTTCCACGTTGTCACGTTGGATGACGATCGCAACCGACAGATGGCACTCGGCGGCTCGTTTTTTTCTGGCTCTCGGAGGCTTCACCTACAGCATGGTGATACATGACTGGTCCAACATCACCAGCTTCAAGAAAGCTCTTGCCGAACGGATCATGTTGCATCTTGGCGAAAAGCAATCGGCCAATCAACCAACTCATCTCTTGGGTTTGGAAAGGATAGATTTAATGTAGACTCTTGATTAATAACCCTCCCATATTATAGGATTTCCAATTCAAATTGGGGGATTGCATGGGATTGCCAATCAAGAGCGCATTACTGGGATTTGTTTCTTAGACACAAAACTTGTTGGAGCGACCTCCAGGTCGACCATGTTGGCTCGTCTTTTGGCGAAGGTCGACCATGCGTTTTTCTCGCGAATCGCCTGTTTTCCTCAAAGAATTCTTAGAACAATTCTTCACGATGTCAAAGCTGTGCACTTTTCTCCCATTTATCAGCTGCTTCCCATTGCTTCCCTCTCTGACGTTCAATTCTGTTGACATTGATGTGTTCATGTTCTCAATGAACTCCTACAAAGCTAGCGCAAGCGCCGCGCCGTTGTTGCTGGTACATCCCACTTTGTTTGGACCTGGCCGCCTCCTTTTTTTCTCCACGATGCTCCACGCTCTAATATCGCGATGCCGTAGGCAAGATATGATCACCTATGCCTACTGGTTCATCACTCCGGGCCGCATGGGCATCGGAGCATATAGCCCCTACGGCTTCCTGGAGGCGATGCTCTTCGCTGTGGTGGTGCCGAAGGACGAGATCCGTCGTGTGATCCGTTGAGACCCGATGGGCGTTGAGGCAGAGAACCACCCGAAGGTTGGCTGAACCACTTCAAGTTGGATTTCTACATGTGCCGGATTGTTTGGTTGGTGCTGTATCTTCTAGTGATAGGATGTGATGGGCAAATTGTCAGATTGAAGAGGTTTTGCTAATGCTAATGATTGCAATGCGAGCGATTGATATGATCTCCCTGGGCTGCTATGCCTCAACACAGCTTGAGGAGAAAAGCATGTTCTCCTTCGACGAGATTTTCTCCTTCCTCACGCCGTTCAGCCCAGCCGTGTGGTTTTGCTTTCTTGGCTTGATGATTGGAACAGGTTCCCCAGCCGCAGAACATCCGAAGCGGATTCCGGTTCTTTAGCCGCGAGCGGAAGCTTTCTGGTTGGACCAGATGTTGCTTTCCTGTCAGTCCGTGGGAGGGAAGGCATCAGCATCCAAGTCACCAAACTTCTCAAACTTCGTAAGACTTGGGCAGAAACGCCCCCCTGACATTGCTTGAAGTGCCATGGTAAGTTTCCATGGTCAAATCTTCAAGGTCAGGCGCTTCAACAGAGCGGCCGTAGGACAGATTGGCCCGCAATCGTCGTAGCAGAGACCACACGGCATTTTGTCGTTTGTTGGAAGCTGGACGTCTCAATTAATTGGTTTGAGGGGCTCAGGTTTGCTCCAGTATGCGAGCATGTTAAATCACTTTGGGGCATTGAGGCCACTACTTTGAAGTAGATGCTGCCAGAGACACTCCCAAATCTGTCCTGCCGTTGTACAGGACATTCGTTTTGGTGTTCTATCGTTTCAGGCTTATGGGATTCACTGGTCACCGCGCCTGCTGAGGGGACCACTCAAGGGTTTGGCAAGGGTTTGCCCCACAAAATCCATCCAACATCCTCTAGGAAGCCACGCTGGTTTCGCCGCTGGCAGGCTTGATGTACCGATTTCTGGAAACCTCCAATGACGAGGATTTCCCGGAAGGCAGAGGACATGGGGACACGAGACGGTCAACGCTGGACGTATTTGCCCGTGCCTCCGACAGTCAATGCGAAACGCCATAGCGTGACGCCTCGGTAAATCCTTGTTCCTAGTCGCTTCTTGTTACCAATAGTAGTAATGGCCTCCAACCTACTGCGATGGCCTCCACCCATTGGCTCCTTGTTGCTATATGTTACTAGTCGTAAGGGCCTCCAACCTACTAGCGATGGCCTCCACCTAGTAGCTTCTAGCTACTACTAGCTTCTTGTTACTTTAAGTTCTGTAGATACAGATTTTCCATCACCATGACAATATCCTCTATAAAATGGACCGCTGGAGCCCCCGACCCAAATTGTTCCTTTGTCATTTCACTTCGCTCATGAGCCCCGACGCAGGACTCTTTGACATCCGGAATTTCTTGGATCCTAGGTGTTGTATTCAGACGTTGTGTTGTGTGAAAAGCTTGAATTCGTTTTGTTTAGAGACATACAGTATAGTTTACTCAAGGTAAACATACAGTAAGTATATACTAAGTATATACACTGATGACAGATAATGGTAGATATTTTCTTTGGGGATATGAAGTATGAAGGTTGGCGCCCTCCGCCGCAGGAAATATTTGGTAGAGGGCCAACAAGCAGCACCTTCATAAGGGCCCAAGGGCCACCAACCAAACTGCTCAGGGCCCGTGTGGCACTGCTCACATTCTATTCATGCAGATTGCAGAATGTTTCCACCTACTTGCGCCATCCGAATCCCTACATCACTTTGTTGACACCGAATCCCGACTCCGAGGATTCTATCTTCAAGTCCTCGGGGCATATCACGGGTGCTTCGGGCTTCGCGCCCAAAACTTGGCCTGGAAAGGTTCTTCTGATGTCTTGGACCTGGCGCTCCAGCAGACTTGTGGGGAGACGTCTGACGGGGAAAAAAGCAAACTGTTCTTAACCTGTATACTAGTTACTTTTTTTTGGGGGGGGGTTGGCCGCTAGGAGGTAGCTACTTGTAGTAGTAGCAGCTACAAGTCAGCTACTACATATGGACGCAGGATAGCGCTCGCAGCGAAATGCATGTTCAAGGTAGGAGATGGTCAGAGGTCAATGGATCATGGTGCAAGTCTTGATTGGAGAAGCAGCGAGGGCAATCAACTCCATCCCAAGCCAAGATCAGGGAAACCAATTACAGTATGTCACTGATCATACTGAGATAGACGCCGATTTGGAGTAGCCGGAGTAGCGCAAATGGCAGCTGGCGACATCCTTTGGAGCAGAAGGACTTTTTGTAAATCCTCAATTGTTTCAGTTTATTTCTGAAACTTTGGACACTTGGGACTGATGGCCTGCCTATCATCTTAGGACTGGATCTGACTTGATGTTAAATCATGTTAAATCTGATCCAAGCATCCTAAGACAGACATAGACAGACGAGCATCTTCCGGGAGCGAAGCATTTCGGCATGACAGCACCATCCAAGGTGCATCGTTTTGACCCTGTCAGCCTACACGGCGAACTTGGCATCCTTCCTAGTGATGAAGTTTGGCGAAAGACTGAGGAGTACTAGTAGAGGATCAGAATAGGTCAGCTGCATTTCATTGCGGGCCAACTTGTGAAGAACCTGCGCAGCCTTTGGATATTCTAAAACGTGCTATCCCTACAGACATCACAGTGCTTGCATCTCAGGAAAGCTGAAAATGCTGCTGGCTTCTCAAGCTTAACGTCTGCGGTGCAGCAGATGATGCTTGGACTGCCCTACTCTGCTCAATCTAGCCGGCAGAATACCGTGGAATGCTGGATGCGACTGGATGATGGGCGTGGGTTAAAGGGATAAATCGCACCAGGCATGAGACAAATATTCTATTGTGAGGTGTCTTTGAATCTTACATTCACCGCTATGCTCTTGCAACAGGCGCGTGGAAAGACATCAGCCATATTCCAAGTCATCATTTGCTCCTAAAAGGAAAGGCAATAGATTCAATAGCGCGAACATGTTCAATGTGTTTCAATCAATACCGAACACACTTTAGTATCTTTAGTGCTGTAATGTTTGGAGGCGGCTTTGAGCTCAAACAGTTCACTTCCCTTTCTCTTCCGCGATGTTTTAACCGCTCGCCGGTCAAAAGACCGGTTGTTTCGGTCTGTTTCGTTTTTTCGTGGCTTGGGTCCTTTTTGGCTCAAAGAAAGGTGCCCAAGCTCAAGCACCTTCTTTTGGGTTCCTTGCTGCTGTCTTCTTTTCGTTCTCTTCTTTCGCAGGCTTTCTATGGCTTTCTAGCAGTTGTAGATTGGTTAGCATGTAGATAGGAAGTTGTTGTACCCGTGCGGTGCGGTGCCGCAGGGAGGCAGAGACGGTGACGATCGCAGTTCCAGGCCGAAGAGTCAAGGCCTCGTCCCGTCTTCGATCGTGGCCCAGGAAGAAGGTGTCAGTCGAACGAGGGGGGACCAGTGGAAACATGGCGACTCGGGCAGCAGATCGACCCACAACCATAAGAAAGGCCAAAGGCAGGCAATAAACCAATAAGCAGTCTTTGACATGCCTTTGCTTGCTAAATAGGGGTGAATATGGGTGTGCATGGGGTGCCTCAGAGTGGACCTAGAGGAAGCGAAGTTGAAGAAGATCTGGTGGTTTGGGTACGTGATTGACAGAATTGTGTCATGGGTGCGTCGTGGACTTTGTGTGTGTTCACTCAATGTAGGGCTGAGTCTTGACCTTTTATATGTTTTCATGCTGGGGTTCCTAATGCGGCTCGTACGATCCAACGGTGGGTTGCACGAATGACGGATTCGCCATGTTGGGCGGGCTGTGCCGAATAGGGAGCCCAGTGGCTTTGGGTCTTTGGTTTCATCCACTTCGCTCATGAAACCGGGGGCAAGTTGCTTCTGAGGTTCCAAAACAACTATCCGGACTACCCGGAGCTGCAATCCGTTCCATTGGTGCCAGAAGAACGTGCTCTGAAACTGACGAATCAAGAGCACGACACCGGGATTTTCGCCAAGTTTGAGGTTGATCCTTGGAGACGGACGGCGGTCACCGTCTGGAAGACGACTCGGACGCATGGGTGATACCGAGACCGATACCATCAGAACCGCGACAGCTGTACTGTAAGCATGGGAAGCCCTGATATCACGCATAGTTAAGAGGCAACAGAAGTTTCGTTTTCATGGCTTAGGGTGAAACCAAGAGTCAATGATAGTCAATGGGCCACTTGCAGAGGTGTGTGCAGCAACGTTCATGCAGGTGTTTTGTGGCGAACATAATTGCAGCAAAGAAACTGCCTTTGGTTTAGACTGTGACAAGCCCCAATGAGTACCAGAAGGACAAGTCCAAACCTGTTTTTGACACAGAAAAGGACAAGATTGATAAGATGATAAGTGGAAAGCCGTGCCATCAACAGTAATGGTCATTGGCATTGGCTTTTGTTTTAGACAGTTAAGCTTAGCTTGTCCTGTAATTCCGAAGAGCTGGCGTGGAGCAGACATTTGCCGACATCAGAATATGTTTGATTTCAACATGGAGGAGAAAGGGTTTGCCAATGGAGTAGCAAGAAAACACAAGAAAACTATAATTACATGTCATACAGGATTACTTATTCAGATTCCATTTAGGTGTGGATTGCGTCATGCTGCTTCAAAATGACGGTTCACATGCATCTCCAATGAATTGAGCGGCTGTACCAGCAAAGAAGCCTGCGTGATATTTTCTCCCCTTGTCATCGTCGAATTGGGACTGAAGCTGAGGATATGCTGAAACAGAGGCCGAACATAAATCCACACTGCAATATGAAGACCATTGGGGAGCCTTTGCTGAACATCCAAGCTGGCTGGATGGCGACTTGGCCGATGAAGGAAGGCAAAAGAAGGTCGGACTGGCATGGAACTGAGAGCTGCACTGTTTGGAAACATAGTGTCAAGTCAGGATCAATACCCCTCCAACTTGTTAATCCGAGCTGCAAAATCTGCCCAGTTTATATAAAGAACTAAAGCGTTCACCCAACAGGCTCAGGCACCATGTCGAAACCACCTGAGCCAAACACGCAGCCCCATTTTGCTGGTTCACTCATTACTGTAGATCTAAATGGGATTCTAATCTCTTAAGTTTCTTACAGATTCAACCAGCCCTTATGATCTCCTAATTGAATCTGAACAATTATGAACATGTTTTAAATAGACATTATAAACATGTCATGAAGAGATTATATAAATAGGGGGAGTGGCCCGAAAGTGGTACCGCAGACCTTGAGGAGATTGTTGACCTTGTTGACCAATCAGCAGTTGACATGACCGTTGATAGTTGATCCATGTTGATGCTAGTTGGTCTTGATCTTGTAAGTCCGATATAGTGTGTGTCCTAGTGGGGATGGGTGGTTTGGTCATAGACGTGCGACCAGCCTTGGTCTATCAGCCAAGGTGGGCAATGACGTGAACGAGAACTGCACGATCTTGGTCCGAGACGTCCTGGCAGTGTGGTTTGTCCGTGCCATGACTGCCGGGCCCGGTCTGGGGCCGGGCCGGTCGACAGCCGCTTCCGGTCGTGCTTGAAGTGAATTGAAACGCATGACAATGCACCGCACGACAAAGCAAGAACATCTCAAAGGCGGTGATGTTTCTGAGAGAGAGTCTGAGATGCTTGAATGATCGTTTGTGCATTTCACGATATTTCACGATACCAATTTCATCCGTGACCTTCCCTCAAACTCGCCACAATGAGCTGATGTTTCCTTGATGAGTCATGAGTGTGAACTTCCAAGAACTTAGCAATCTTTTCGCACATGTCAAATGCCTTACTGTCGCATACTTGATATTCCCATATGAAGGTCCTTCCGTTCCATGTTGATTCCGAGCCTGATTTATTTTCGGCCCAGGCATGGATTTGGACGGGACGCTGTCCAGGCTCACCAAGAAGTCTTTGACACCGGTTGCTGTGCTGACTGGTTGGCTCACCAGAAGGATTTGGACAAGTAGGGCTGGGCTGAACACACTTATATACTGTACTAAGTAAGCTGGTCCACTAAGCTGTCTCCCAAATGCTGCCCTCCAAAATCTACCATGTTGTTGGGTTTTCAGACATGGCAGACTTGCCTTGATTAGTTTGGATTGCTGGCTCCCCATCAATTCCTACAATGTCGTTTTGAGTGGTGCTTCACAAAGTCACATTTCTCGGTTTAGTTCCAATTATTTTCCTTTTGGATAGTTAGATGTCTTGGAGTGTTTGCCTTTGGGTGGTGACTTCACGCTTGACACGGATTGATGAGTATGTAGGTTCGAACGTTGCATCATTTGTTGGGATGAAGGGGCCTTGTGTGCCAAGCGCAAGGTGTGTCGGCTAATTCTTGTTCTTTGTGCAAAAACACATCATGGACATTGTGAGCGGTGGAATTTGCAGCCATCTCATCTTAGCCCAAAGTGGCTGCACGGAGACGTGGTGTTCAGTCTTCATCCTTTGTAGTGAGAGCTCGCTGAGGTTGAATATTGTCCAGATGCGGTGGAGGAGGCATGCATGGATGGCCTGGCCGAAACAAGTACTGTATATATAATTGATGTCGGAATCACAGGGGTCTCTTCTCCAAATCTGTAGACTGCACATCGTATACATGGAGCAAACAGCTGGTGACAAATGCCAAGGAACGCGGCACGCACACCCTTGATTCAGCCCAATGAGATCTTCGGGCAATCTCTCGGGGTCTCGTGATGTCAGATGCTACGAGTTCGGTTTATGAGCATCCAGGTCAAAGCCCCAATTAGCTGATAAATGCTGATAACAGTGAGTCCAGTGTTTCGGTCCTTGTTCTTCGTGTGCCTCGGGGACGTGACGGGTACCTTAACGGGATGGGGCGTTTCGGGCTTCCCTGCGGACCAGGGACCGAGGATGTGCGTTTGGTCTAGTGGGTCCCGGGTCGTGGGTCCTTTTGAAGCTGCTAGCACTACCAGCTAGCACCAGGAAGTGAAGGGGCTGTTTCTGCTAGTTAGTGAAGAATGAGGGAACACACTCAATCACTCAGAACTAAGATGGATGTTTAGCCTAGGGTTTCAAGCCACAATGTGTCGCAATACACGAAGGAGCCTTTAAGACTATAAATGTCAAACGCATGGTGTATGAAAAGAGAATTTCCACAGGCACCGGCTGGAGCTACTCGACTGGAGTTTGAGAACATGCTCGGCATATTGAGTGCCTGAGCTTTGTTATTCACTGATATCACGGCAGACTGGCAAAGTTGGGAGTTTGACGAGCGGCAGATACGAGTGGTAGAAGAGCCTTCCAGCACAAGGTGGCCAGAACCCCATTCCTGCTTGAACTTGTCAGATCCCCCATTCAATAGATGTGGATGATGTGGAGATGTGTTCTAACCGAAGGTTGGGTTTTCCATTTGCTTTGTATCCCATCAGTTCTAACGTGTCTTGTACTTCGGGGCTGAATTCATTTTAGTTGTTGTGTGCACAGGGGTTGAGGCACAGAGAAAGCGCCTTTTCTACATGCACTCTTAAAACCCCAAACCCTCCAGAGGTCGACCTTGGCCTCCAAAAAAAGGTCCGCAGGTTCAAAATCAGACAGTCGGGGTGTTCGATCCCATTCCGAAGAGGACCAGACATGGCATTTGTTGTGGTCTTTGGGCGGTCTTTGGGCCCCTATGTTTTGGCCGTTGGTTGAGTGGCGGCCACAGGTGTCCACGGGGCCGGCGTGGTGGCTGCCCTGATCCTCTTCTGTGCTGGCAGAGCGAAGAGGAGGATGCCAGACATCCTAACACCTAGGCTCCTTTGTTTGTCGAGCTGAGCATCAATTCAATGCTTCACTCCTTGGCCTTGACTATCCAGCATTTGAGGAGCATGTCAGTTGGCAAGTCCTGATACCAAGCTTGATCTCCAATAATTGTTGTTGTTTGCCACATGAGCCACATGTTCAATCTGTTGTTTTGATGATTCTTTTGGCACCACGTCTTTTTGGACTTTGCAGGCATCGTGGGACACCTGCAGAGAGGAGCGAGGAGGCCCTGACTGAGATCACTTAGAGACCAAAATCAACCCTCTAGCCTTTTGAGACGGGCTGGAAATATTGTCCACAACTCTTGGATATGCTTACTATATCTTGATATTTCATTACTGTATTTTATTTATGCTGTATATAAACATGAATAACTTAATAGATATATGGATTATATGGACCAACTTGTCATTTTGTGCATTCGCATGTTTCTGCTGAGTTTGAGGTTGTTTTTTCCAATCCTTTACAATCTGTACTTTGTCTTTGAGCATTTTTCACAATTCCTGGATTCAAACATTAAAATCCAGGAACTTGCAAAGGCCCTGCAAGGTAATCCGGCCGTCCCCGGATCGAAGAAGGTACCAAATGATGCGGTATGATGCGGTATAGATATAGTTACCTGCTTCGGAGCGCCGCCTTCCGCAGCGAGTTGCTGCCATTTGCTCGTTCTGCATTCCTTGTCGGCTATCTCTCGCGGTCGCCTCATCCGCGTCACTCCCTCAATAACTTTGTTTACGCATTTCATAAACATGTGTTGACAGAGCTGTCTATGTGCTCACGGCCATGAACAATGATACACTTGGCAAAGGAGAATCTTTTTGCCAATGGAGAACATTTTATAGAAAAAAGAACATGGAGGAAAGGGGACTATGGTCAATATCGCAAAAGAAGGAATAAGATGGTACGCTCATACAGTGTGACATAGAGTGTGAGGTCGAGGCCCTGACAAAAAGGAAGGAAACCATTGGAAGGAGGACATGTTTGCAAGGAAGATACTTTTGTAAGGACAAGAACAAGGTGTGGATACAGGATGGGATTCTATTAGTGGAGGACATGTTCATGGAGGCTTTAGTGACGCATAGATTGCCTATTTCCACTCAAGACGCAATTACGCACAAGTAGCAGCACCTAACATGTTTGCATGGAGAAAGCAATATTTGAGATCTTTGGGAGTCTTAGCATAGATTGGGTCTGTCCTATTACCTGTAACAGTCAGTAAACAATTATCACTATTTTTGGACAAGGCCTCTACTAACCATCATCATGCACTGTTACAGGTAACAGGATAGACCAAAACATAGATATGTGTTTGGTATCAAAAGCATCAGGTATGCATGATTGGAATGAGGGATTTGGCCTGGAAACTATTTCAAGACCCGACTGGCTGCAGCAGCCAAGCCAAGGTGCCTGCTGAAAAGGAAGGCGTCATAGACGTTGAGAACAGCATGGGATTGGACGATCAGAAGGCGCTTTCTTGGACAGTGTGAGTGACTAACCGGTTAATGTCATTTGTTGGGGATCGCTTGATAGGAGTCCTGTCAAGGTACACTCCCTGAAATAATCATGGAAGAGGACAACCGCTCCTTCGATGACCATTTTCCTCCACAAACAGGTCCTCTTTTGCTGTATCTTACATTATGGTGTCACTTCCTTGGACAACAACGACTCTACCCAGCTTCCGCATGCACTGGACTTCGCAGGCCTGATGTCTTTCTTCTCGGTATTTCGAAACAGGCTTTCCGTGGGCAGAGTGCGCCCCTTCACTCCGTTTTGGCACAGACGAACGTTCGTAACTTGCTTCGTGAACGTTCGCCGTGCATCGATGAACCGCAGGTCCCATCGGAACCAGCAGCAAACCCTGTCGTCACCAACAACCGTCGTCATCTCTGAGCCCAAAGGGCAGTCAAGACCGGTTGTGAAATTGTTTAGTGAGTTTTCTGGGTGGAACAAGCGACCCAGCAGAACGAGCAGCGTGTGTAGTGGAGTTTAGTCATGTTACTTATGTTTAGTCTATATGATTTCCATACCCCTTTGGCGGTCCCTACTCTAAGACACACTCAGTTCCAGGGTATTGCAAGAGTTCGAGGTGCTGATCCAAAGGATTCAGGCCACAGACGCGCATGTGCAACAAAGTCGATCTTTGCGCGGCAAGATAAAAGGTGGATGGACATGTCTTTCTGTCTCAGTAGTAACGTGGGGTGACTGAGAGCATTAATTATCGCCATGCCATTGCCATAACCTGATTGCACATGACAAGACAGGGGTCACTCTGGCAATATTTTGTATCCTACGTGTGGCACATTGTGCGTAATTATTATCACACTATCTTGGACATTTATTGAATGCAGATGCACATGGACAGAGGAAGAAATGCAGACCCAAGCCCATTGCCGAGAACCCAAGCGCGGCCAAATTCAGCCTTAATCCTGTCATTGACAGACGATTTCCCAGAACTTGTGCAGTTGCGTTGTTACTTGCTTGCGAACAAAAGAGTTAATTTTTGATCACCAACCACAGAGTAGGGGAATGGCCAGCTTGCTTCGACCCTCAAACTATCCAAACAGAATGGAATTGGTGGAACCTGATCCGGACATGACCAACACATCTGGCAGATCCAAGGCTTGCAAACCGGTCCATCGTCATGTTCTCAAAGTTGGTGATCTTCATCCAGATCTCCGTGGTGTTTGGAATCCGAGCGGACACCTTCTCCAACACCAGTGTGCATGTCACCGAGTGTGCGGAGTGGTACGAGGGCTTGCCAAAGAAGTGGAAGATTTGGAAGCTTGGGCCACTTGGGCATGAAACAGAATGAATAAATTACAAGCTTAAAGAAGCGTCCGTGCACGTGGCATGTCCAAGTTTCTTTTGTTTTTTGACATTGCATTAAACAAAAACGGCACTTCTTCGGTCAACTACCCAAGTTCGCAGCAGTTAATTCGTGCTGCATGGTTAGTTGGGGATGAATGGTTGATGGACATAGAATCGACACCCTGCACTCACGTGGGCATACGTTTTTGCCGTTCCCCCGAGGCTCAGGAACTCAGGGGGCGGACGTTGCCATGACCGGGTCATTGGTTCAGTCCAAAAGTGAGTTCATAGGGATTAGGGTCACTAAATTGGTTGGGGATTGGATCATTGACGATTATTGCGTTTGTTGGATTGGGGTTTGTGGATTGGGGAACCGAATCTGATTTGTGCGCCATTCCCAGGGCACGGAGAGAATACATTGAGAAGAATCCTGATCCTTGTGCAGCCAACGGAATGGAATGTTGCAAAGGCAAGTGCAGCCTCAAAGGATGTCCACAAGATTTGTCTTGCGCAGACTGCAAGGCTTCAATGAGTGACGTGCCAGCTGATGCTCAGAAATCTTGCTTTTGCTTGGCAACCTCTTGTTTGTTTTGGCAAGTCAGCATTTGTTTGTTTGTTTCCTCTGGTGGGAATTGTCCTTCTACTTCTGTAAGATTCTGTAAGTGTGTTTTGTCCTTCCTCCACTCAAGATAAAACAAGAAGGAAAGCCATTTGTGAAGACAAGACGACTTGCAACAGTTTCGTTGGTGGCTGCCTATTCTTGGGCGGTGCCTGCGAGAACCAGAAGCAATCCTGCCACAAGTGCACCGAGTTCTACCAGCACGACCTGGCCAAGGCCAAAGAAGCTTGCGGGGATACATCTTTGTGCTACTGGAGAGGCAACAGTCACTTGGATTGAAAATTAAAGTGACTAACTAGTGACTAGTATGACTTCGTGACATAGTACTCATGACTATATAGTAATTAGTAGGGTTGTCTTGTGCTTTTGCATGCTTTTGTGCTTTTGAGTTGCTCTCCCCCTCGAAAGATTAACAGCAAGCAGATCATCCAGAAACCCGTTTGAAGGCTTTTGAAAACCGTGTCAGGTGCTTATTCCAATGGCGACTGCAAGTGGAATGATGACTCAAAGAAGTGTGAATACCACTATCGTTTGTATCATCCACCTAGCTGAGCGCTGCAGCACGAACGACTTGCGACGATGACCACTTCCGCATGCAACGAAAAAGATGCCGGGGAGGGCTTTGAGATGGGTTGTAGACGATCTGATTCTGATTACGTAATTAGCCTGAAAGGGCTTCGTACTAAGCACTGTCCCGATCACTGTCCCTACTCCACCCATCCTAATATGTGCTTTTCAAAGGGTGTCCCGCAGCCTGCTTGGCATTCCTGCTGGCGTGGGGTATTGAAGCTGTTCCAGCTTGGACAAGGTCTTGTGAAAGTACTGTTTACTGTAACTTTACAAGGTTCACATCCGCATGCTGCCTCTAGCTTGCTTGCTGCCAGGACAAGGCGTTACTGGAGGCAAATTGGAAATGGCTGCATGGGAAAGTGTCTTGGCAATTTTCAGCTCTGTCTCGTGTGTCTCTTCGTGTTGTGCGATCGGGTGACCCCAAGAATCTGATTCAGCATGTGCGATCGCCGACTGCGTCACGAACGACTTCGTTCCGATCGCCTGTGGGGTAGCTTCTTGTTTCGAGTAGTGCCAGGAGCGCCCCTACGTTCGTAGCGTCCGATTGCTCCTAGTTACTAGGAGCAACCAAACAATCAACCATGAGGATGAAACTATCAACACTGGATGGGTGAGCATACAAACAATTGCAAAGCAACTCCTCACAAGTTCACAGGAGCAACCAGGCTATCGCCAACAACCAAGAGCAATTTCACCCACACAAACACACGTTCACGTCAAAAAGAGGGAGACTCAATTAACCTGTAAATAAAACAAGGAATCACTATGCCCATGGATGCTTTGGGTACTCACAACAAACCAAAGCAAAACCCAAAGAAAACACGTGAACAAGACATTAATGAAATCAACAAAGCCATCGAAACAAACGCATTGAAACAAATAACAAACAAACAATACAAACAATACAAAAAACCATGCAACAATTCATATGCAAAAAAACATAATCATAACATATCATGATCATACATACTTCAATTCAACAAAACACAAATCGAAATCATAAAACAAAACACAAAAAGGCAAAGAAAAACCATACCCCAAAATGAATTCATAAATCAAAACATTTTTGGAATTTAAAAAAACAACAACAACAACAAACAGAACAAATAAAATCCAGACATCTTGAAGCTAATTAGCTAACTTTCGAAAGTACTATCCTACTAGTAATGCCCTTTGTCAAGTTCATAGCTTCTTGTTACTAGGTAGCAGACTTGGCCCATTGGCCCAATCCTTGCGGACTCGACCCATCCGCTTGTAGGGAAATGCGCAGAAGCTGCAAGAGATCATCGACAGCTGGAAGGCCGGAATGCGGCCCAGCCATTGGAGATAATTGAGTGAATACGGGGACATACCGTAGTTGCCGTAGTTAGGAGATTCTGGAAATTGGTCCCCTCAATTTGACTTGTGGCAAAAAGGAGTTTGATGGGAAGCTAGCTTCTAGCCCTTGTTCCATCCTTTTGGTTGTGGAATGCTGCAATGCTACATCCTGAACAAAGTAGAAAAGGCCGTAGAACACTTGTCACTTGTGTTGGTACCATTCCCACCCAAAGGTAGCATTTTGAGAACCAGCTTGCGAAATTATGCCTATATAAAGGATACCGTTTTGTCAGCCATGCCTCGTGAGCTTGGTCGTTGCAGCAACCGTTTGGTTTCTGGTGGCTGTTGTGCCCCAAATCCTGGTTGTTTTGGATGGAAGAATGTTTGCCACTACCAAAGTTATAGGCAAAGAAGCGCATCAAGGGCATACCAATGGACAAACTCCTGCACCATTGTATGTTCATCCCGGCCCTGTGTATTTTTTAATAGTCGAGGAGTCCTCCTCCCCTTTTGCATCATTGCACATCTCAGCATCTTTGCTTGAGCTCTTCTATGTGGATTGAGTTCCTCGCTTGAGGAGAGTTCCTGCACCAAACGCCTGGAAAGCATTCCTCCAAACGCCATAAGCAACATGAGCTGTGTTACCATGCTAAAGAGCACAAAGCTCATCACGTTCCACGTGTTCTCAACACTTGCGAGCGATGCAGATGTGCCAGGCTTTCTATTGAATAACAAGTGGAGATCTGTTAACCTCCCAGTTTTCTATGGAACACTTCAGAAAGCGGCCACTTTCCAGTTCCATGCTGTTCCATGTTCGACTTTTTCCCATCCCTTACGCCTGCGGTGCCCAGTCGGGGGAACACCGCACGCGTCCACCGCGCCAGGTGGACCTTCTGAGCTGCGCGCAGCGACTGGAGACGTTGAAGGCGGCACCGTCGTCCCGTCCCGACCGAGGAGATGAGTGGAGTTTCCTGTTTCGGGGATCCCCGGAGGGAACGAACAAAACGACCACTGGAAGGTCTAAGTCGAATGAAACGACAAAAGGATCAAAAGGACACTTAAAACATCTCAAAACTTAACACCAATACACCTTCAAGAGTCATGTTTGATGCTTTCGGGATGTTGGAACGCACATCTTAAAATGTGAGTTTTATATTATGGTTCTTGTTTTCTGATCTTCGACTTACCGTGCTCAAAGACATCAGCCATCACACCGACTCCACCAAATCAATACAGCTCCATCTGTTCCAGTGCGCTCTAGTCACCCCTTTGAGCAGCCAACCGACAGGTCGAGGTCACCGAAAAGGCCGACAGCTTGGACTCTTTCCAGGCCAGGCCACTAACTGCGCGGTGATGAGGTCCGGTCGGCCGAACATCCGAAGAAAGATAGCCATACACGTGTGGGTTTATACTGTTGGTTTTCTTCGAATGAATCAGAAGTGAGAAACTTATATAGCCATACACTTGTACCCACTCGTCGTTGCATTTGTGTGTGATGATTTTGATCGTTTTTCTTTGTGATGCCTGCACACTCCATCCCGCCAGGATTCCTTGCAGGCCACTCAAGCGCAGCAGCTGCCGGAGCACACCGAACATGAAGGCACCGGCTTAAGAAGAGCACGTAAGATTCACTGTGTAAGGCGATGTGTTGGATTGTTTTTGGCTTGCTTTGAAAGAATACAGTTGCACACTTGCATGCTAGCTGTCAGATCTCCAGCTATTGGATGCCCTTTATATTCCTTTATTGATTGAACTTTCTAACTGGCACCTCTAACGAAATACCACCGTGGAAATGCAGCCAGACTTGTCTCGTCAAGCTGTGCTTTCCAAATTTTGCCACTCTCAAGACATCTCAAGACTTCTTAAGGTTGTTGCCAGCCCTGTTGGCACTGGGTTCTATTGAGATAGACAAGCCAGGCACTTTCCAGATTCTCCCCAGGCTCCCAATTTGCGAAGTATGGCTCGAAGATCGAGATGTTCCGTCCTCAGTCAATTCTTCGGTTCGGGTGAAACAGCGGTCGCCGCAGGACGGTCACCAGGTCGCTGTCAAGTCGTCTCCGGATCGTCGCGGTACAAACACAACGGTCGAGATCGGGTGCTCTGAGGCTGGTGAAGCATGTGCAGAGAATCCAGCCGCCTGGTGGAGAATCCGCCGTCCTTCGTTCTCGTTTTTAGACTTAAGCAACTCCCGCAGGAACGGCAGACTTCTGAAAGCCCGAAACCAACTTTTGCGGCATTGGTCAATGCTTGACAATGACATCAAACTCTTCTAGGTAGGGAAGGAAGCATCCAACGCACGTTTGAGAATGACTTGGATTTGACCCTGCCAGAATCAGCATCGCTTGATACTAAAGATGTCGTTTGTTATACTATATAATTTATATACACATGTCGACCTACTTTGTGAAACAACCTTGACCAGGTAAGAAGGTATTTTGAGCCGAGCGGAAGGTTGCAGTTGATGTTTCACTTAAAGGCAACAGCAAGAGAAAAATAGTACGCTGCATTACTACGCTGCAGTCTAATAAATAAAGCTTAAAGATGTCGCTTTGGTTTATGACTATTTGGAGAACATTTCCACATGGAAATAGAGAACAGATATGAACGGAGTAGAAAGGTGACTATGGTGACTCCTTGTAAAGAATAAATGCATTGAATGGATTTGAATGGTACCTTTGAGGGATGCCAAATTTGGATCTTGGACATGCAAATACTATACGACATCGTCGTACGCCTCACGGCTTGGACGTCTCAGTCTCCAGACGTCTCCGCCTTTCCAAGGTGCGAAGATGCCACCAGCAAGTTGATTTGCTTCGTCCAATGGGAAGATCTCAAGCGAAAGGTGGGAGCGACGATGCTCCGGAGTTTGGGGTCGGATGCTTTGCTCGTTCGCGCCTTTTTTTTCGCGCTGTGGGACATGGCGGTTGTTCGGTCATGAATCGCGCTGTTGAACCACATTTCATTTCTTGACCGATGGTATGGGAGAGACATGGAGAGACAAACCAACAGGGTACGGTATCGATGTTTTATTGTCGAACCTACACAAAGATCAGGTGAAGAGAAAGAACATATTTGCGCACCGAGGGTGGATACGCCATGACTCATGAACATGCAGAATCCTTAAATTAAGACTACTATACACTCAGTAACTATATTATATACTTTGGGAAAGTGCAATAGTACTGTCTACCAGAAAACACCTCATTCAAGGATCAGCGCAGGACGGCAGAGGGACTACATCAAGATGTGTTTTCATGATAAACTGCGCTCCGTTTTGGTGAAGAACAGTTGCATATTGAGCAGCGCCAGCAAAGGATTAAGAGGAACTGTGAAGGACAGGTAAACTGGGAAATTTGTGTGATAAGGAGCTCGAACTTGCTGTTCAACTTTGATCAACTTTGTATCTGAGCCGGAGCCTAATAAGTTTATATAAGTTAAACTTGAGGATTGGGGAGTACCCGTATGCAAAGCGCAGCCAGCTACTTGAGACAGTTTGTACATGGTTGTACCCCATTGTGGGTATGTGGGAAGGACAGAGTAGCCCGTGAATTCTTGGAGGGACTAGTTTCCGAAAAAGACAAGGACCCAAGTTTGATGCCGTGGGGACCTCGCCGACAGCAATGTTGGTGTTCAGAGCAAAAGAAAGGAATTGTTAGGCATAGTCAAACACGATGACAATATGACATAATGTGACATAACTACTCTGTTGTGTGATGTCCATTTAGGGCTTTTACTCTATCGTTTTGGATTGGCTTAGACATTGCTTCTTTAGGTGAAAGGGTTTCCTCCCCAGAAAAGCTGTTTTGCATGTTTGTGAAAAGTATGGCTTTCCTTCCAGAGTTCCTCCATGTGATGGCTGTTCAGTGACCGGACATGTTTGCCAGATCAGCAATGCCTTGAAGGAGTTCAATGCAGGAAGGACCCAGTGTGGAGCGATACGAAGTGTAGGAGCGCATGCTAGTAAACCCTTCAAGGCTACTTCACATGAGATCACATGAATGAGTGGTCAGGTCCAACTGAAAAGAAAACTCTCTGGGGATTCAGGACTCAGGAACCCTGGCCGGTGCGTCCTTGCAATTCTTGGTGGTTTCCTGACTTTCGATACGTACGTAGGAAGCTCCTATCATGCCAGGCTGACATTGTCATACCGTATATACCTTTTTGATTGGAGATTGACACAGCAAAAGCAGCAAGAAGGATGTCTATATAAAAGACATACAACCATTTTATACCAAAAACATGTGAATATGATTGAATATGTCTTTCCCCAACGGGCCAACAACACGTCCACAAGCACCAGAGCGACGTCCGTGTTGAAAACCGTCGGATGCTTTGCTCAGGTTCCTCACGTGACGCTGCATGGGGGGGCCTTTCACTCGCCAGACGGTGCTGAGGTGCCGCGCGGCCGTACGGCCGTGTTCGCCAGACGGTGGACGAGAGCATCGATAGTCTCGAAACTGTAAGACACTTCTCAACACAAATCACCAAACACGCACGAAACGGGAGGTCATTGGTCTCGAAACTGAATTCAGCTTCTCCCGGATTGTAGCAAAACGCGGCTTGTGTGTATAGAGAGCAGGTGGACAGCAAGAAAACAAGATACATGACAGGTGGCCGGGTGATTGGCCAGATAGTTGGGGGTTGGAGGTTGGTACATGTAGGCTGGTTGATGTTGCGGCCTTCTTAGGCTAGTTGTCAGAACGTCTATGGAGCAAGCAACAAGCCAAGAGCACTAATAAGAAGAACAGCAATCTGATGAACAAAGGAAGGTAGGACCAAAGGGACCTTACCGTCCCTTGACTATCTCATTTTTTCTTGTACTGGGTAGACTACTGTGTTGGCCATGGCGCACCCCAGGCGCTTCCAGTACGACTACGAGGGCCCTCGCATGTTGCTTTTGTCACTGGAAGAGTCTGCGAGTGGAACCAACCTCACGGCCACTCAGCATTTGTTAAGATGTCCAGTCATGTTTGGTCCGCGCACAGGATCAAAACAATTCAAAACAAACATATTTTTTGATATTATTTGTATTTATATATTTGTATTAAGGAAGGAAGGACCGAAGGATGGAAGAAAGGCAGGAAGGAAGGACGGAAAGCGGCGGACCCTTTTCTCGCACCAAAGAGGCAGACCCTTTTTTTCACACCCACTGCGTGCTTCTTTAAAGCCCAGCCCTTGTTCTGACACTGGCATATGTTTGTTTAACCCTGGGTTGACCAAAGGGCAATTGAATATCCTTTCAAAACAACCCATCGGGTCAATCCTAGGAACATACTTTTTGAATCTTGCAACCGATGAGCCCGTTTTTTCTAACCCTACAGCACTCCTTGCTGACCAAGAAGCAGTTTCTTCAATCCGTTTTCAAAGGTTCTCTTCCACTTCCTGGCAGTGTCACTTTTATACCACTGGGTAGGACAAGCTCATCTTTTGTTTTTGACAAACATCATCAAATGAAGTAGCTACGGGGCTTCACATCACCAAAATTGTGTTCGGAACTGTGCAGGGCAGATTTCACACGGAGCCCCTACTCCATGTTCCGTTTTGGTGGCTGGAGAATGCAAAAGCTTACTGCCTTGATGTCACGAGCCAGGCCATCACCCCCACCCCCCTCAAACACATACACTTGGGATAAAGTACATACTGTTTGAATGCCACTTGCCCCAACGCCTAGGTGAAAAAGTTCCTGAGTAAAGCGAGTGCAAAGGAGTCCACCACCTGCAAGTTGAGTTCCAATCAAAGCGCTGAACACGCCGAAAGGTCAAAATGCAAAGGCTGGCGATCTTAATGGTTAAAAGCCAGGGACCATTGGGAAGTGGAAAGTGATGATGACAGTAAGTACGTCTTGCTGATCAGGCCAGAGATCAGCACGGAGCTTGACCCTTTTCGTTGGATCACCAGTCAAGTCCGTGTGTGACTCGCCCCTGCTTCAAACCAGCATTGAAAAACCCTACGTTAGACTCACGTCTACAAAGCCGGTACGCACATTGTTTGTGCGCAATTGGTTTCGTTGGCTGCTGGGGCTGCACCTCCCCCCAAGCCCACTCCCGCGCCATGAGCAGAACTACTCCCGGGTCAAAAAGTAAGCTTCCCGGGTTAAAAGACAAGGGTGCTGGAACTCAGAACTTTAACTGATCTCAATGACAGCCCTTGTTGATCCGCGGGATAGTTTTTTGTTGACCTTAATTAGCATGTTACGTCTAAGTGTTACCTCTATTTTTCGGTCCTTCTGCATGACTCTTATAGTTTGTCAGAGTCTTGCCAATTCTGGCTGAACCTTCCTGCAAAATATCAGAGTGGTGAAGTATCCCAGGAAAACTCAGGGTTTGTGCCTTTGAGCCGACTGAGATATTGCACACGACCTCTTCGCAGGTTTACAATTGACCGGACAAGCATGGACAAACGATAGTGTTTGTGATCTGGATCCGAGGCTGCAAATCATGTGCTCATCGTGCACCCTATGCAGGCGTTTGTTATTTCGGTGCAGTGCTGACAGGCAGTAACATGTATGCATTTGCATGGGAGGTGTTGCATGTGTATTTTTGCAAAGGGCACTTCTAGGCATGATTGATGTGTAGCAAGGTCATTGACGGTTATTATGTGTTTGAAGGAATTGTGCAGGTGATATTCATTGGTTAACTTGTTGTGTGAGAAGTGGGCCGTGGGGTTGCTGACAATGCGGATGGATTGCACATTAATCTGTGCTGATACCAAAAGAACCACATACTGACATGGTCGGAAGTTTCGTCAGTCTTTTGAGGTTTGCACGTTGTGCGCATCCTCACCTGCACACATCCAGATTTAAATGATATGTTTTTCCTGGCTGCTAGCCTGCTAGATGTTGTTCTTTCTTGCTCTTTAGCTGGACATGTTCACAGATAGTTTGCTTTCTTCGGGGGGGGACGCTCCACCTCAAACAGCTTGCTTACCGTGGCAAGGACGTTTCCAGGTGTTTCTTTGAGAGAACAAATCCAATACTTTACAAGTGGTCGTTTTGAAGGTGCGGTGAACGCCACGAGAGATTGGCCTTTTGAACGGCATGTTTCACTGCTCAGGCTGAGAGCAAGGAGGAGGCCGTGGCCTTTGAGATGCAGGCAGCTCTTTTGCTGTGTCTCATTTGGTTGTGAGTTCTTGGAGTGGGGTGAAGTGCCATAGATGTCATTGTCATACTGAATCATCAGATTAACATACTTCAATTCGATTTACACAATCTGAGTTGATTGAGATTCCAATCCGGTGGTCATTGGCCAGGCCGTGGGCCGCGTCCGTCGGCCTGGACAGCAAAAGAAGCCTCTCGGTGGGAATGGTCTGGTCGCAGCGCAAGGACGATCGATTTGACATCACAATTGGTATCAATTGGTGTTCTGTTTGAATTGGTGAGTGTTCTGTTTTCACTGGCACTTGGCAGGGTGGATGGTGGGGAAGGCCTATTCTCGCACCACATTGACAATCACAGTGGTTGTTTTGGGATTTTCTTACACCTACTCGCTCATGGCTGTTTTCTCCCTCACTCTCCTTCTTTTTTGCGCAAAGGTATTGAAGAGTTTAGACAAGTGACTTCAAGCTTTGCATCTTTGACCGTGAAATACTCCCACACGTGGTGATTTCCACTCAGAAAGACCAACAGTATGCCTGCAGAGCCTCCAGACCAAAGGATCTACATCTGGCGATTTGTCACCTGTGACACGATTGAGCAGACCATTACGGAGGACAGTTGTACATCGGAGGACAGTGGAGCACAGAGTTCAGAGTTCGCATTGTGCCGTTGGATAGAACACTGAATGGGGTTGATACGTAGAGGAGCCACGGTCATCCCCTATCAAATTGGGCTCATTGTGTGTACTGCCCAATTGGATGACCAATTGCAACTTGTTTGCGCAGGAGCACCAACGCGAGCTCTGGCTGCGGCAAAAGGAAACGGTGCCACCCTTGTCGCTACCAGCAGCACAGGCCCCTGAGTTCAAGATTGAGGTACACGCATTCGAGTGCTTGCATGCTCTGGCAGTATTAGCAAACACACACCAACAGACGACTTCGCTTACTATATAAATGTTTTTTGGGGCCTGGAGTGTCCAGTTATGCAACCTGAATCTCACGCGCAAGCGTTCCAAACTGATTTGACCTTAAGTTCAAAGAGGCCCGAAATCTTGCACACCATGTGTTTACATGAGCAGGTCTTTGAGTTAATTTGTGGGCAAGTTTGCGGCCCCCAGGATCCCGAAAGTGATGAGGAGTGCGAGGAGTCAGCACCAGCAACGTCCTCAGAGGTTCGCTCCTTTTTCACCGTGATGTCGCGGTGGCTTCCTACGCGTGCTGGTCATGCCACTTCCCGGAGACCATGCCCGTGCAGTTTGGAACTCCAACAGAGTCAGTTGCAAGGCGAGATGGCCCGGGCACGAAAGGTGAGATCATCACTCTCATGACAGACAGATGCTTCCCCCCGAAAAAAGGCAGACAAATCACATCGTTTACTATAGGTCTGGGGTTTGCCACTAAGGAGACAATCGATTTCCAACTCTTTAAATATATATAAATGTTGTCCACAGTGTGGAATCACGTATTGAAGATGGATGAGTTTTCTTCAAGATAGACTCCTTTGTGTTTTCGCGGATTGGATGACCGTCGTTTGTTGAAGACAGCCAAGGCTGATGCTCCAGCCGAGGAAGCTGCAGGAGGACTGCTCAAACTCAGTGAGATTTGCTCCATGGTCTTCAGATGATGTGAAAAGGACCTTTTAAGTACGCTTTGGTGTAGTGTAGATGGACACTGCCCAGGGCCCAGTTCTACCAGTTTCTATATGGGTTCTGGGATGTTCTGGTTATGTGTAAGCAACACAGCAGTACTACCATCCTCCACCATTACAAGTTTGGTGAGCTACAGGTCGCCGGTTCGAAGCCTGAAGAAAAACTGCAGATCTCGAGGGGTTCGAAGCCTTTTGATCGATGAATAGTTTGTGTTGTTCAAGATTGCCACTCATTTTAAGGTCCAACCAATGTCTAGTCTGAACTCGAAAAGTTCAGCTTTCCGATGCTTTAGGTCGCTTTGAAGTTCCCACAGCGTGCAACACCCTCGCAATCAGTCAGCCTCCTGATGTGCTTCCCGCGGATCGTCCCTTGAAACACACACGTCTTGGGGTTGGGAAGCGTCCCTCCTCGTCGGGAGCGCCACGTCGGTCTCTCCGATGGATGGACTCGGGCGGCCTCGGGCTCACATCGTACGGGCTCGAGGTGATGTTTTTATTCGTGGCACGTGGATGTGACGTGATGGCGTACTGCGAACGGAAGGAATCAAAAGGATATGATGAATCCCAAGCTGACTCTTTTTCATTCCTGCTTGAGAGATCCCAGTTCTGTAGACAGATGCAGCTTGGACACGATCACGTTGGACAGTGCTTGAGTGTATCAATAGTCCATGAATGCACATGACGAGCATCCTGGAACCAGGAGACACGATGGACAATATGGCAACACAATGTTGGTCTCCAGAGTCGGGAGAGACGGGATGTGTTTGAGTCTCTCCAAGCGAAGGTCCATGACAGCTCAAAGTTTCTGACCTTTTGGTATCATCAAGTCATCTTGAGTGTTGGATCAAATATGATCAACTAGGCACTTGTGGATGTGTTCTCCCCCGGCCTAGCGATCAAAGAGCTTGGGTAGCTGATCATGGTCCCAAGCAATCCTGTGGCCGGAGATACTTCCTGATGTGAGAGCTGCTCCCAACAATCTCGGGTACAAAATCGTGATGCTAGTGGTCGGTAGATAAAGACTGCGATACACTTCGTGTAGAGCGCTGTCAAGAAGCCTGAGGCGGGGGGGGGTGCAGTAGGAAAAGGGTTTCTTCATTTTGTTCCATAACCATTTGTTGTTTTACAGATTTTTACAGTATGATCTGTAGTTCTCAACTCCACGGGCTGCAGCAACTTCAAAAACACACTATTATGTGCACTGATCAATTGCGGTTTCGCTATCATGCGCATCAGCATCCAAGGCTATGCCTCGGATGTGCACATGACCATTGAGGAGAATCGAGGGAGATCATTCGCCTGGGTGCAGTTCGAATGGGAAGGCTTTCCAAAAACTACCACGAGACACCACAAACATCCACAAACAAGTTTCATCGAATGAAGTGCCACCAGGCAACTCAGGTCTACTCAAGCATTCCACGAACTGTGATGGCTGGAGCTATTTGAAATCTTGTATAATTTACTGCACAATGTAGTTCATGCTGCTAAACAAAACACATCGTAGCAAAGGATTTGAAGTGTTTTGGCACATTCTGGAGACCTTGCAAACCCGCAAAGAAAATCAAAGAAACACAGACAGAAGTAATTCAAGCATTCTACCAACTGATTAAATGAGTAGCGTTTGTTCTACAGAATCAATCATACTGGTTTGCCAAGGAGCAGACGGACGTTGGTTGCTCAGTCATGCGCGATGCCAGTGAGGACCAAGATGGCATTGCTTGGTTTCTACAAACAAACAATAATATCCAATAATCCTGTTGCCTCTGGCAGAGGGCTCAGTGAGTCTCCAAAGATCTGCATAATCAGATTCTCTCAAGCCCTAAGAGGGCCAACAACATCAAATCTCCAGGACCCACGCTTGAACAGCTACTATAAGCTTGGAGGCCATCGCTCATAGGTTGGACGGCCATCCATCACTCTTAGGTTGGAGGCCATCACGCCATCGTGCGTAGGTTGGAGGCCATCGCTCGTAGGAACGGGCTAATTAATTAATAGAGAAAAGAAAGAAAGAAATAAAGGATCTCGTTGACTGGAGACTCACCGGGCCGACCCTCACGGGTCGCTGAGGTCACGCGGGTCGCCCAGCAACTTGACCGTATGGCGTCACCCAAAACGGGGGTGGTCGCCGTCACCGTGACGGGGCACTGGCTGCGAATGACCATGTTAAACACTTCAGCTGTGGTAACGTTTGCATATCTTAATGAGGGTAATATATAATACTGTATATAGTCAGTCAGCATGTGTGTGTGTGTGTTCATGTTTGTTTGTATCAAATGGATCCCGAGTTGATAAACACAACAGCACAGACATGGGGTCAGATTGAAACAAGCACCGTGATTCATGATGGTTTCTCATCATGCCAAGGCAGCCAGATTCCGGCTAGAAGCCAAGGGACACAGAGAGCAAAGGATTCAAAACATAATATGATACATATAATATGGCATAAACTGAGCACTGCAGTCATTTCACTGCAATCCAACTCTTTTCAGCATGGCCTCATCTATGTTGATGGACTATGAGTACACATCAAGATATGTGTGCCGGTTGCACGTGACATGGATCTCCAAGAGTTCACCTCTGTTGCGCCAAGAGTTCACCCAAGGGCCAAGGGCTTGGGGAGTCCCTCCGTCTGAAACGACCGAGGTGACGCGGCAAGTACGCAGTTCTATGCTCCGTAAGTGGTGTGGTCGATAGGAGGACTGAAAGGGGGTCATCCGTGGTCGATAGGATCACTGCCGGACATTCCCCGATTGTAAGCTCATAGTTGTTATTTTGATATTATATACAGTAATAATTGTATGGTATTTTATGCTTGCTTGATGTGGATCAGGTGAGCTGCTGTTGCAGTGTTGATCCAAATGTCATGCTATGTCATTTTTTGTAAATGTCGAAGCAGTCCAGGGGAATCTCCAATCGAACGACTTTGTATATTTATTATTGAGATGTGCCCAGCAAAAAACGGGTAGACAGCTGGAAAAGAGCAGCTTTGAGCGCTTGCCGCTTGACAATGTTGCAATAGTTTGTGTGTTGCTTTTGATATTTTTGTTGTATTTTTTTCTTAACCAGGGGGTTTCATGGCGCGCTGGCAATGGCACTCTCTAAATGCACTAAAGGCTTCCAGTTTTGGTCTAGCATGGTCGATGATGAAGCTTACCGCAGGCTGGCAGCCTAAGTCTGATGACGTGAAGTGAATATTCGGGAATGCGCAGCGAAGAGTTTCTGTTTTCCTCTCGATGGTAACTTGTTTGACCAGTTCAGTGTGTAGCTGCCACTGACGACCTTCAGGTTTGACATGATCTATATAACAGGAGTCTACAGGTGTCAAGGATCGCTGTTCCATCAGAGACTTCGATTGAGACATCATGTTCCATCAGGATGCCGCCGCATTGCAGATCCTCTGATTGGAAAGAGAAGGGCCTGATGAACATTGCCTGTGACAAAGAATAGAGTCAGCTTTTGCCGGGGGAAGTTTAAAGGGGTGTCACCCCCCAAAAGCGATCGCATTAATACCTTGCAACTACACGACTTGATTGATTGAGAGTTTTCTTGACTTCATCAATGAAAGCTTGGTCAGCTTTGTGAAGAGCAGAGGTAGTAGTAAGAGGGAGGAGGAAGCTGGTCGTAAGGGTTTGTGACATGTCCTGAAGCTGGAATCCAGTTGGAAGGCGAAGTCTGACTTTGTTCGCCAATCTTAGCGACGGGTGCCAAGGGGTTGGAAGGGTGCCAAGTCTAGCAGAGGAACGGGTTGGATGTTCACTTTGCTGGAAGAGCACCAGTTGCCTAGCATACGAATCTGATTCGGGTCCCTTGGTCCCTTCAGAACCCAATCATCTGGAAATGCAGTTCACCTTCATCAACTGTGCCACAGAAGAGCGACATGTTTTTAGAAGGGGGATCCTTAGAGGCAATTGGCCAGATATGTTGCTAGACTTGAACAGGAAGCCTTTCCATTGCCAGGTTAAGTCCTGGTCTATCGGGGAACAGCCGTGTGCTGCAGGGGCAACCACAGATACGCTGAGAACAGCATCCTAAGAAAAATGGGCGGTGCGTGCTTGGTCGAACCATTCTTCAACAAAGCAATGCTTCACGGATTTCATGCATGACCTTTCGGAGCTTTATGGACTATGCACCATAGGTTGAAAATGGTCTGCCTGATGAAGCATCATATTACAAGAATATATCATATTATCACATGCTTAGTGTAGCAGGTTCCAGCCGGACACTGCATGCAGATGTGGAGAGGATTGTTGCTGTCGATATGTTTAATGTGAACTCAAGCAAAGTGGAACCGTTCTTTCAGCATGTGAACATGTTCCTTTGATTCAGTCCAGCCGTTTGGCTTTGTTGAGCATGTTCGATGCCAAACAGCCTTTGCACAGCATCCCTAGATGGTCAGAACGTAGATATACCTCTTGTGTCTCTTGAGATCATGAAAGCACTCAAGCAAGTAAGTTTAGTTGTCAGCCATAGATAAAAGCGGCCACAGACTCTCCACATCTTTCTTACCAGATGAGAGAGGAGCGGCAGCTTCAGTTATATTTTGCCAGATCACAAGCAGCACCATGGAGCACTATCGTGGAGTACCATTCACAAGAGATTCTTGTTTTTTGTAGGCATTCTCATGTGTTTAAGAGGAGACCAAGATTAACCAAGACTCCAAACCCACAGGATCCAACGATTGCCGGGCGGTCTCCGCCGTGTCTTTCTCTCATGGCCGGCTGCGAGAGCGAGGCCAGCGAGGCCGAGCGAAGACCGGGTATGCAAAGGCGAAAGGCGAAGTCCTCCGACATCGACATAGAAGTCCTCCTGATCGTGCAAAACCAAAAAAGATGTATCCAGTATTGAAGTTGATTGCTGCTGCTATTCTCAAATGGACGTTCAAGAGATTGATCGTACCGAACTCAAGAACCTCAACTTGCTATGAGAGAAACTCCACACAGTCGATCCAGGCGCAGCCATCAAGAGATGAGAGGCCACGTCCGAATCCGCAGATGGGTGGCTTGAGATGGGTGGCTTGAATCCGCAGGTTCAATCAGCGTATCAAAGGCCGGGTCGTTCATTCTTGAGAAATATGTCATCCACTTCTCCGCCGCATAGACTGCCCTTCACAGATATTGAAGCGGGATGCGCAGTTGAAATATTGATCATCATTCGGGTAGATTGATACATGCTGTGGACAGGCTGATTGCGAAAGGCATATTACGGAACCTTGCATAGTTTTGTTCAGCCGGTTATTCTGGCTTTTGCCCACATAATATGTAATACACCGCACATGCAGAGACGTTCGTGCAAGAAACAAGAAGCCGACCTTGCCCTGCCGTCCCAGGGAAGCAGAATCGTTGCATTTGCGTTTGCAAATCGACAACGGATCAGGTGCGAGTCGCTTCGTCCATTTGAGCCACTGCCGAGCTGTCGGACATGTATTTTTTTGAGCTGTCGTACCCGAATGAATGCTACCAGAACCTTCAAAGTGACCTCTTTGGAGTCTGTAAGTGACCTCTTTATGGACTAAGTGACCTCAAACTGGGATCTCAAAAGGTCAGATTAGTGGTCAGATTTAAGGTCCTGGCAGAAAGTTCATAAGATTGACTGATATTGACTGCAGTACATAATTAAGTACATAATTAAGAAGGATTGTTTACAGAAATCACAAATGGATGGTAGATCTTGCTACTCCCAAACATGTGTTCATGCTACGCAAGACGTGAAGCCCAAGACGCCCACCCAAGAGTGAAGCTTAACGTCCCAGGTGTCCAACGAGCTGATGTTCACTTGCCCCGCACTGCTCAAGTGGTAGAGCTGAAGGACGTAAGTGAAGAGCCCTCTTAGGATGGTAGAACGGCCTAACCACCATCCATGAAAACTATTGAAAACGACTGGTAGGTGTGTGGAAAGGTGTACAGGTAGGTATGGCGCTCAAGCGGCCCAAGATGGCCCAAGTGTCTAAATGATGTGTGAAGATAGCCCATGTGGATCATTGGTGCGACGACCTTCTCGAACGTCGGACTATGTCGAACCGAACTGAAATTTGCTGTACTCATTGCAGCCCCACACGGATTGTGATTCCTTTTTGTTTGCCTGGGTGAGTTCTCTTAGGCAAAATGATCCGAACGGGGTTTTCGCATTGTCTTCGCAAATTGTTTGATCCTTCACCTTATTGTTGCCGCGAGGAGCGCGAACATCTGGGTGTGGACGTCTCCAGCGGATGGCCCGGATCACTCAGCCATCTTGGTCACGACGAAGACCGCAGGTCCGACGAAGGTTTTTCGCAGCGTTGCTCAGACCGTTTCGCAGGTAAAAAGTAATATTCCTGCCGCCTACAAAGATGTCAGAGATGTGAAATGATGCTAAGATACTACGACAATTTGTGGCACTCTGACTTCGGTTCCAACAATGGCAATTGATTCATAGTTTATTCCTGTTGAACATTTTACATGGGCCGGAGATACCCGCCGTTGTGTAAAGTCAACGTTTCACATACTGTGTGTGCACGCGTTGGTACGGTGAAGTCTATCGCAACCGCTCACAACTGGCAGGTTTTGCGTCATGCTACCATTGTAGAAACCTTTCTGTACCCCCACCAACGGGCAGGAAAGGGGCACCGATTGCGATCTTGTCCGAGAGTAGTTGCCTCATGTTGCCTCAAAGCCATGGTAAGTTGACCATCTTTGGAATCTTTGGTGTTCACTGTCGTCCACGTGGTAGTCATGGTAGTCGACCACAAACCCCATCGCAACTCCCTGACTCGACGAACTCGACGCTCGCGGCGCCGTTTCACACGGCGCGGCACGTTTCACTCTCCCAGGCGAGTCCGCTTTGTTTTTCGTGGACGTCTTCTGAGTGGGGGGACCGAAAAAGGGGGGGACCTGCGCTGGCCTGTTTGAGATCCTTGAGCAAAGGGGCGTTGTGAGGAGCGGCTAGGAATCTGGTAGAAAGATCGAAAGAAATTGAATTATTTGATCTAATATGTGTTGATTGATTTTTGATGCTTTTTGTAGATGCAATCAAAGCGTTCTGAGGAACTTGATTTAATCCCCACCTTAGTTTGGCTTTCAGGGTTGAAGTGATTGGCAGATCGTGCGCCACTGCGCAGTTGCGACATTCAGGCGAAAGCGAGCCATTGTCACAACTGCTGGGGTCTCAAATGATTGCATTTCGAAAGCGCCAATTCATGACAGCGTTGAAAAGAGTGACTGAAGAAGCAGTTGGCTTGCGATGAATCAAGCCTATTTGGGCCCATCTATTGTACTTACACCTACCAATATATCACTCGCGAAGTTCGGAGAGTGCAATATAATTGGTTGAATCACGACCCTGGCAATCACTAGCATTGGACATGTCCTTCACAAGTCATGTTCTTCCAGCTTCAGGCCTAGTGGGGCTTGCGTACAATGCTATCTACAACCACTGCCTGTGGAGCATGCACAGAGCCTCAGAAGAAACAACAGGGGAAGGTCCTTTTCGGTGGCAAGCATGTGCTATGCAGCTCCAGTCCAAGCTCCTAAAACGCTCCAGTCATGTCACCAGTTCTTATGCTTCTATCCAGTTGCCAGTTCTTGACATAGTTTTCAGACGTTGTCCGTCCGTCTGATGTAGAGTAGTACCAGTCTCGATGCTCGCCTACGAGTGGTATGACACCGCGACATCCTACGAGGAATCAGACATTGCTGTGTGGCTGTGTTCTTCGGGGCCAACCAATCCGTCTCAGCAGAGTCGCGCAGAGTGTCTCCGAATAAGATTTGATCCACATGATGAGCCTATTATATATGTAATATGTATGACAATGTATGCACATGCATGCTATTCTATCATATTCTATCAATGTTTCAGAATTCTATAGATTTCTATTACTATAGTATGATGATCACTGGCTCCAGCAGCCTCCAACCAGGTAGAGGCAGATCCTGATCCGCTTCTTTTGTCTTGGGCAAGGCGTGCCTGGTCCGTGCCTGGTCTCACGCATGTGACGCATGTGGGGTCATTCGTCCTTTGGGAGCGGCGTATTTGTTTTCCATACTTGTTTTGGTATGTTTTGTTTGGAGTTGTGGATCTGATTCAGATGATGTTTTGTTTTTTTGGAGTTGTTCTGGGGCTGGTCCCTGGATGATACTGATGTATACTGATGATATGCTTTTAGAATAAAAGATGTGTCCCGCCGTCCCGCCTTCCAAACTTTTTGGGTCACGCATTCAACTGTCGAACGCTAACACCACGCGAGATTGGCTGGAGTTGGACGTGCGCTCCCGCCAGAGAAGTGGCAGGAGAAGCTGCTTGAAGGGGTTGGCGTGCGATAGGAGAAAGCCTGCAGATAAACTAAAAGCCTTCGAACGGACAGCTAAGAGCAGCATGAGATTCTTCTATGTTTTCAGGCATGATAGCATGGTTTGATTGATTGAACAGTCCAAAGTTCATCCTTCGAGGTGCATGTCCGAATGAGCGGTATATGTGTTCCGTTTGAAACCAATTATATACATAGGAGGCACCCAAGCAATTTGTTGACATCCCCGCCATGGAACCCCTGCAAGGAATATGTACATGTCCTGAAGAGTTCTTCTTTCAACTTGCTTTGTCAAGGATGTGGTTTTCCATTCGGCCATCATTGTCGGCTTAGCCGCAGCGGGGCGCCCTTTGTCACACGTTCACCATGGTTCACCTGGGACGGCGTGAAAGCCTCCAACCGCTTCAATCTACCAAAGCATAGAGCCTACGGCCTACCTGCTCACTCATGAAGTCCAGGAAGATGCCACTTTGAGAAGCATTGATTGTCCCAATCTGAAATTGAAGATGGCTTGGTTTACCGTGCCGAAGGCATTTTGGATGTGGATCCTCTTAGGATGCCGACCTCGCCCAACCCGGAAACCCGATCCGGGTTTCCAGCTTGCTGAGCTCTTTTGGCTGACTCGAAAAGGAAGACAAATATTACATGATATTACTGATTATTACAGTAGTCTCTTCTGGCTTCACCTTCCTCGGTGCCGGCGATTCGGTCCAAGGCCTGGTCCCTTTACTTGGCCTCTCCGAATGCCTTCGACCTCTTCAGTCGCTCCTTCCTTCGCTTCCTCTCGGCAGCTTGGGCCACTTGGCATGGCATGGTTCGGCGTTCCAACCATTTCCAACCCGTGGAGCAGCTGTGAGGTTGAAAAACATCGGTACAGCTGGGGAGTGTGAGCCGTAAGCCTACAGTTCCCATGCTTGATTCATCAAACAATGTTAATTTGAGGCCTGGTAACAATGTAACACGCAAAATTATCCTATGCGGACATTTTATGTGTCATCAAGATCCTATGCTTGTTTGAGTGAGGCCTCTAAATGTTCAGATACACCATGCACCTGCAAAGATGCAAAACACAAAGTAGAAGACATCCTGATTGAGCAATTTCAAAAGCAGTTGCAGGACTGTTTGCTTGCCTGTGATTGAAGACAATGTTGCAATATTGATTTTGCGGAAGACAAATCCACATGTCCTTGTTCATGAGCATGTGGCTCCAA